CTTTCTCTAATAATTTAAAGAAAACTGAATTCAAACAAGGATTAAGAATCGAGAATGGAACAACGAATCATCTTCTTTCTCTCACAATTTAATGAAGCATCAAAGCTTATGCGCTTCGCCAGTAATGGGGGGGGGGAACAGCGAGCTGCCCGAATATGATTTAAAAAAAAAATCTTTTCTCATTTATTTTGGTGACAAATAATACTTTCACAAAATACATATTATGCTCAAATTTTTGCTCGCTCGCTTCGCTCACTAGCCGAATTGTGAAACCAGAAAATTACCCAAAGATTACCCAATTACCCAAAGATAGAAATGTTGGTACACGTAGAATGCAGCTTGGAACATATACAATGCAATAATTTGAATGATGGGAGTGTGTAGGCAAAACAATACAATTACCCAAAGATAGAAATTTTGGTACACGTAGAATGCAGCTTGGAACATATACAATGCAATAGCTTAAATAATGGGAGTGTGTAGGCAAAACAATACAATTACCCAAAGATAGAAATTTTGGAACACGTAGAATGCAGCTTGGAACATGTACAATGCAAAAATTTGAATGATGGGAGTGTGTAGGCAAAACAATATTATCCCCTAAAGATAGAAATTTTGGAACACGTAGAATGCAGCTTGAAACATGTACAATGCAATAATTTGGATGATGGGAGTGTGTAGGCAAAACAATACAATTACCCAAAGATAGAAATTTTGGAACACGTAGAATGCAGCTTGGAACATATACAATGCAATAATTTGAATGATGGAGTGTGTAGGCAAAACAATACGATTACCCAAAGATAGAAATTTTGGAACACGTAGAATGCAGCTTGGAACATATACAATGCAATAATTTGGATGATGGGAGTGTGTAGGCAAAACAATACAATTACCCAAAGATAGAAATTTTGGAACACGTAGAATGCAGCTTGGAACATGTACAATGCAATAATTTGAATGATGGAGTGTGTAGGCAAAACAATACGATTACCCAAAGATAGAAAATTTGGAACACGTAGAATGCAGCTTGAAACATGTACAATGCAATAATTTGGATATAATTGGAGTGTGTAGGCAAAACAACACAATTACCCAAAGATAGAAATTTTGGAACACGTAGAATGCAGCTTGGAACATGTACAATGCAATAATTTGAATGATGGGAGTGTGTAGGCAAAACAATACAATTACCCAAAGATAGAAATTTTGGAACACGTAGAATGCAGCTTGGAACATATACAATGCAATAACTTAAATAATGGGAGTGTGAAGTCAAAACAATACAATTACCCAAAGATAGAAATTTTGGTACACGTAGAATGCAGCTTGGAACATATACAATGCAATAACTTAAATAATGGGAGTGTGTAGTCAAAATAATACAATTACTTAAAGATATATTTGGAACACGTAGAATGCAGCTTGGAACATGTACAATGCAATAATTTGGATGATGGGAGTGTGTAGGCAAAACAATACAATTACCCAAAGATAGAAATTTTGGTACACGTAGAATGCAGCTTGGAACATATACAATGCAATAACTTAAATAATGGGAGTGTGAAGTCAAAACAATACAATTACCCAAAGATAGAAATTTTGGTACACGTAGAATGCAGCTTGGAACATGTACAATGCAATAATTTGAATGATGGAGTGTGTAGGCAAAACAATACAATTACCCAAAGATAGAAAATTTGGAACACGTAGAATGCAGCTTGGAACATGTACAATGCAATAATTTGAATGATGGGAGTGTGTAGGCAAAACAATACAATTACCCAAAGATAGAAAATTTGGAACACGTAGAATGCAGCTTGGAACATATACAATGCAATAACTTAAATAATGGGAGTGTGTAGTCAAAATAATACAATTACTTAAAGATATATTTGGAACACGTAGAATGCAGCTTGGAACATGTACAATGCAATAATTTGGATGATGGGAGTGTGTAGGCAAAACAATACAATTACCCAAAGATAGAAATTTTGGTACACGTAGAATGCAGCTTGGAACATATACAATGCAATAACTTAAATAATGGGAGTGTGTAGTCAAAATAATACAATTACCCAAAGATAGAAATTTTGGTACACGTAGAATGCAGCTTGGAACATGTACAATGCAATAATTTGAATGATGGAGTGTGTAGGCAAAACAATACAATTACCCAAAGATAGAAAATTTGGAACACGTAGAATGCAGCTTGGAACATGTACAATGCAATAATTTGGATATAATTGGAGTGTGTAGGCAAAACAATACAATTACCCAAAGATAGAAATTTTGGAACACGTAGAATGCAGCTTGGAACATATACAATGCAATAACTTAAATAATGGGAGTGTGAAGTCAAAACAATACAATTACCCAAAGATAGAAATTTTGGTACACGTAGAATGCAGCTTGGAACATATACAATGCAATAACTTAAATAATGGGAGTGTGTAGTCAAAATAATACAATTACTTAAAGATATATTTGGAACACGTAGAATGCAGCTTGGAACATGTACAATGCAATAATTTGAATGATGGGAGTGTGTAGGCAAAACAATACAATTACCCAAAGATAGAAATTTTGGTACACGTAGAATGCAGCTTGGAACATATACAATGCAATAACTTAAATAATGGGAGTGTGAAGTCAAAACAATACAATTACCCAAAGATAGAAATTTTAGTACACGTATAGAATGCAGCTTGGAACATATACAATGCAATAACTTAAATAATGGGAGTGTGTAGTCAAAATAATACAATTACCCAAAGATAGAAAATTTGGAACACGTAGAATGCAGCTTGGAACATGTACAATGCAATAATTTGGATGATGGGAGTGTGTAGGCAAAACAATACAATTACCCAAAGATAGAAATTTTGGTACACGTAGAATGCAGCTTGGAACATATACAATGCAATAACTTAAATAATGGGAGTGTGTAGTCAAAATAATACAATTACCCAAAGATATATTTGGAACACGTAGAATGCAGCTTGGAACATGTACAATGCAATAATTTGAATGATGGAGTGTGTAGGCAAAACAATACAATTACCCAAAGATAGAAAATTTGGAACACGTAGAATGCAGCTTGGAACATGTACAATGCAATAATTTGGATATGATTGGAGTGTGTAGGCAAAACAACACAATTACCCAAAGATAGAAATTTTGGTACACGTAGAATGCAGCTTGGAACATATACAATGCAATAACTTAAATAATTGGAGTGTGTAGTCAAAACAATACAATTACCGAAAGATAGAAATTTTGAAACACGTAGAATGCAGCTTGGAACATGTACAATGCAATTACTTGATTGATGCAAACAATGCAACCATGACAAGGATATAAATTTGGGACACGCAAAATGCAGTTTGGAACAGGTTAGATGCAACAACTTATATTGATGCAAGTATGAAGTCACAACAGTACAATACAAATTTAGAAATGCACTAACTTAATTGATGCAAGTATAGATGCAATTAATGTATTCAAAACAATAAAAGTGTAGTGAAATATACATATATTCTCTTGCTTGAATCAGTAGTGCAGATGTGCTGTCATAGCCTAGATAGATATGCATGCACAGCGTGTACGGACAGTACACACGCCGTGTCGGCACAAGCATAATGCATATTCATTAGGGGGCGTCAACATTTCCTTTACGTAGTGACGTGCGCAAACCTCTACAGGTTCCAAAAGATTGCCTACCTACTTTCTAGTTCAGATCGATGCAAGCTGTGGACGTTTAATAGATGTAATTTCATTTTTTATCGGAGACTATAATTGATATCTTACACAGAATTTTTATAGCAATTGAAGAAAGTTTGAACATGGGGTCTTTCTCTTCCAAGATCACCATAGAAAAAGTGAGGAACTGCAATTAGTAATTAGAGAGACGAATGTGCATTAGGAATTCAGGGAAACTGTTTACTGGTAGATAAAGTCAGTATTCTTAAAAACTCTGATTCATGAAGTGGTCCAAGTTGTCTGTTTTCTGTTTTATTTGCAAATAACATCATAGTCTTCGATATGTGGAGGGAAGGCACATTCATTTAGGATGCTCTGACTTATATACATGCATAATGCTCTGGTGACAATTGCTCCAGACTTTATGTTTTCGCGAGACAGAGGATTAGGTATTAGGGTTATGGTTGGAGTTAGGGTTGAGGTTAGGTTTGTGATTGGGTTTTAGGATTAGGGTTAGGCATAGTGTTGGATCCAGGGTGGAAGTTAAGACATCAAACCAGTGGAGGCAAATGACCTCAAAGCGATTTGTCGCCGGAGCGTGGTACAGTACAAGCTTCATGGATGAACTGATGATAAGCCCTGATTGAGTTGATCCCCTCTCTCTCTCTCTGTTTACATTCTCAACATACTGAGATGGAAACAAAATATGGTGTTCAAGTGGTGTTTAAAGAGAAGGTTGAGTTCTTGTAAGAGGTGAAAAATAATTTGTGAGCGTTGTATTATGTATTATGTATTATTTATCATTGTATTATGCAAGTGTAGAAGAATATCAGATAAAAAATGTTCCCTGAAAAGCATGGCTCTTCAACCTTTTCTGATCGATATCACAATGCAATCGCATGACTAGAACTCAATTTCATCTTTAAAGGTGTTCATGATTTCTGGAATGAGTTTACCACATCATAGATGAATGAGCCATTATATGTGTGGAGGTCCTTCATACAGGCACACAATATCATGAGCTGCATTTACACCACAAGCAAAAATGGTTTCTTTTTCTCACACTACTGACAAATACCATACAAAATTACAAATTTTTAAAAAATTGAAAAATCCACAAATTTCACAAATTTGTGAAGTGTAAATGCTTGCCCTCAAAACATTCCGGCTTTTGGTCACATGATTCTCCTTGCTTCTATGCGCTTTGGTCGCTTGTAACTGGTAAAGTGCATTTTAACAAACAGTTGTTATTGTTATTACGATCATGTGGTGTCCGCTCTTCAGTAAATTAATTTGATTGAGGCTATTCCATTTATCGTTCCAGAAAGGGGTGGAGCAATTCTGCTGCCGAGGACGACCAGAACCCCATCCAGCACGAGCCAACCGAGGTCAAGATGTCGAAACCAAAGAGCCAACAGCTCCCTCTACACAAGGTCATCATGGTGGGGAGTGGAGGGGTCGGCAAGTCGGCGCTGACCTTACAGTTCATGTACGATGAGGTAAGAACCTGGCGTTACGGGACATGTCGTCTATTTGGAGCCAGAAGGCAGTAAAGTCATAGAATTTTTACGAAGAGTTAACAGCTTTCTGGCTCCAAAGAGACAATGTTGAAATGTCTATGGGGAAAGTCAACACATACAGTAACAGGTAGGGTCATAGATGTTCTACAAATTCTAGATGGAATCTGAACACTTTCTGTTCAGACTCATATTTACCAAAGTGGGCTAGCCCCACCTATAGTACGGGGTTAGCTGGCCCTGCAAAATAGCAGGGCCAACCCCGCAATTGTGGTGCTAACTCCTGCTAACTCCGCAATTGCTGTGCCAAGCAAGTGAATGAGAACAGAAACGAAAAATAGTCCGGTACTACTCAATGGAGCGTATCGCAGCTGGCCAGATGCGAAGTAACGAGCCCACTGTCCAATCATAACATTCGCGATATCCGGGGCTAACGAATCGCCGTGAGGACAGCGTGAATTTTCTTATTCCGGAATAGGCGCTAGTACGGGACTAAAAATAGCATGTGTGAAAAGCCAAAAAAGTTAGTTCGGGGTTAAGGATAGTACGGGCTAAGCAAAGTACTGGGTTAAGCAAAACCAGTGTGAAAAGAGTATTAGGCTGCGTTTATGCTTGATTTTGAAGGTAGAATGAGCGATCTGAAACGCACATCGTAAACGCTCATCGTAATCGCAGTTCCACGGTGTACTGTTTATGCTCACTTCTCTGGCTCCTCCAGGCAATTCTCCCTGTGTGGCCTTAATTGGCCTAGCAGCTGGATTCGCAAACCTGCACCGTGCATGCTACGTAGACCCACTAGAGGTCAGTGCGTTGACCCTATTTAAACGCGTTTACAAATTGTAAACGCATCTTTTTGTGAGTTTACGATCGGCGATCGTGATCGCCGTTTTTCGGTGATTCTACAAAAGTGAGCATGGACGCAACCGTGTTTTAAACTAAACGCATAACAGATGCCTGATTCTGGCCAGAAAAAGTGAAGCATAAACACGCCCTTAGACTCATAACATCATTTCCTTGACAATTGTTTTGATGTGGAATGTATATGTCCTCTGTAATTTATTCATCAACAACCTGATTAGCATGCAGTTATTATTGATGCTTGAGGTTTGAGGCTTGAGGCTTGTACATGCTGCTTGAATATGAGTTTGGAGAAGGAAATGAGAAGTAATGTAATTACCCATCATAACCACATGTGAAAGTGAAAAAAAAAAATATGCACAACTTGAATTCTATTTAATTGAATTTGCAGTGTACATTCTGCTTTCTTAAATTGTATGCAGGATGTTTAGTTATTCATATCATCTGCACATGGAGTGAATCCGGTAGGAATGTAATCAAATTAATAAATGCATTGTTAAAGTGCCTCATTGCAAATTATTTAATTTGATATAATATATTAGTTGTTGCTAGGTAGGACATACATTAAAGCTTGTCATACCTAACAACTCGGAATGTATGCAATTCACATTCTGACCATTGAAATACAATTATTTGTAACAGGTGAATGAAATGATTTGTAACGAGCCACTTAAACAAAGATATGTGCATTAGATTTGATTACATTACAAACATGGCCCATAATTGCCATGTAGCTGTGCATTTCAATGTGATGTAAATTTGCACATTGTCAGAATATAGATTTGTGCACATCCTTTTTGTGTGTGTCCCGTTCTTTGTCATTCAAACTCACTCAAGAATTGTCAATCGGTGTACACTATCACAATCACACAATCATACAATCATACAATCTGAAACAATTATACATTACTAACAATTCAAGAATTGTCCATTTAATAGTGTACTTTCACAATAACACAATCATACAATCTGTCACAATCACACATTATTAACAATTCAAGAATTGTCCATCAATATATTCTCTTTCACATTAATAAGCAAACAAAGCTTGAGGGTACTCTTTTTATTGGCATTGCATTATGAATTTTAATGAAATTTGGCTTTATTGCTCTATTAAATTACAATTCAAAGTTTGTATTGTTTCTTAAAGTTAAAGAATTTGTGATTCCATTGAATCTAAATACATTAAACATAGGGTTAAAAAAAAAATGGATACTGATTGTTTTGAAGTATCCACTTTAAAAGATAAAGCTTTTAAAAGTTAAAACTTTTAGAAATAAGAAGAAAGTGTCACAAGCATTAAATACTACATCAGGATGTCTTAATTCAAAATCATGGCATGATAGTTTTCTCCTTTCAGAAATAATAACATTTTACATTGCCTAAGTGATTAACTATTTTGACATTACAACCTTATTATTTATGCCTTTCACTGAGCAAGATGCACAAATGATTTTCTAATGGACAGCCTATTCCCAACCACAATCTCATGTTAGTATAATTTGATTTCTAGTAATAAAATTGTCCTGTGTTAGCGCTTCAATTGAATGACAAGACCTTGGGCTTGTTGAATTAATAAGGGTACAGACCTGCGTGTGTGTGTGTGTGTGTGCGTGTGTGTGTGTGTGTGTGTGTGAGTTATTGTTGCATGGGTTGGAGGGGTGGAGGGGGGGGGGGGAAGCATACAGGCAAAATGTGAAAATGAAAGGAGTTCTTGGTGTACATTATTGTTAATATCTCTTATTTGTAGTGATCATGTTCAATTTGGTAACTAAACTTTTTTCCCTTTTTTTATGATTAGGGCAAGCAAATTTATGTTGATCTTGTGGTGCAAAGGTGCAGTTAAAATCAGTATATTATTTTCTTATGCCATGGGAGCCCTTTATACATGTAGATGTTCTATGAATTGAGTGGAAGTTAAATTGTATATTTCTATGGGGCAATATATATTTTTACAAATAACCCAAGTGTTATGAAGTGATTAAGTTTACTTAAAATCCTAGGCACGCGAACACTATATCGCGCCTTTGGATGTTTTTGAAACAGATATATGGCGCCATACAAATGCTATGAATCATCATCATCATCGTAAGGCTTTCCAGAGCCACATTAACATGAATAAAGGACAGGTGTAGTTAGGTCTGCATGTGGCGTATGTAGCATACTGTACTGACGACAATGCGAGTCCCCTACCCATCCCCCACCCCTCCCCCTCCTCCACAATCACAGACCCATCCTTTTTCCATTGTTCACACAACGGTGAACGATTGTGTCGAGTATGAGGCTCGTGGGGGTGATGTAATAAGACAAGATACATAGTTACCCCAAAAGAGAAAATGACACATATTTACGAAACTGAAATTAATATGTTTATGGTCACAGATGCATTTGTTTAACCATCTCACCCTCCTCCCCCACCCTCCCATTGACTTACCTTATTTCCATTTTTCACACACCAGTAAACATTCTTTTCTTTTACTGGAGTATGATAATGATAAACGGTAATTGGATGAGATAAGTGCTGTACATATGTACACAGAAGCACACACATATATACATGGATATATATATATGTGTAGGGTACCGTACTGAATTTATGTTAACATGTATGGTGACAGATGTGTATTTTGTTCCCCTTCCCTCCTCACCCCCCCCCCCCCCCCCCCTCCCCCTCATCTATCCACCCTATTTCCTTTGTCCACACTCCAGTAAACATTGTAGTGTGGTGTGATGGTACTGAATAGACAGGATATTACGTAAGTAGGATACTGAAATTTGTTTATGGTCACAGGTGCACATCCCCCTCACCCCCTGCCCCCTCCCTCTCCCCCCCCCCCCCCTCCCTTTTCCCATTGACCCATCCTATTTCCTCAGTTCACACACCAGTAAACATTGTGTTGCGGAGTGTGATGTAATGAAACGAGATAGGCAGCTAGATTATGTAAAGCCCTAATGACTCATCACACCCGCGAGGGGATTATGAAGCGACTCGCTTGCTGCAGGGGGTTAACCAGCCTTTTGAAATGGAAACTGCACCTGTACCTAAAACATGCATGTATTGAGATGAAAATAATATTAAGTTTTGGTCATGGAAACATTTCTACAGAAACTGTTTGGAGGTCACACTTAATCGTATATAAGTTTATGAGGAATTCTTGTATCGAGTGTAGCAGCACTCATCACACTTGGTGTGAGATTAATAGGCAAGGGGTTATCTTGTCTTATGAACAAAAGACATTCTTAATCATGTATTATTGATTGGAAATTCTTGTAATAGTGGCACTCATCATGTGATGCTTCACTTGCTGCACAGGGTTAAAAAGTCTTTCGAAACACAGAAAGCACCTGATAAATTGCATTTCAATTTTAATTCTGGAATTTCATTATTCCCATGAAGGGCCCTTTTACAGTAAAGAAAATCTTGATTTCATTCAAAATGTGAAAATAAATATATATATTTTTTAAACCCACATACATATATGACAATACAGTCAAACCTGTCTATAGCGACTACCCAAGGGAAGCACAAAAAGTGGCCTTTGCAGACAGGTGGTCTTTGTAGACAGGTTCCACTAGTACATGATTCAATGAGAAACCATTTTCAAGGGAAACGACAAATGTGGCCTTTGTAGACAGGTGGTCACTAAAGCAGGTTTGACTGTATAAGAATGTAAGACATTACAGTATATTTTATGTACACGCGCAATTTTTCAAAAAGGGGGTGGGGCACAGAAAAACAATATTATTACTGCACATTGTTGACTCAAGTTGGATACTAGTGATATCCCATGGAAGAGACTTGTGCTGTTGTGCATTATTGATGCCTAATGAATCATGCACGGCATGTCCAGAACTCTTGCTGTGCTTTTTCTATGCAAGTGTTGACGATGGGGAAGAGTAAGTGAGAAAGAGAGAGAGAGAGAGAGAGAGAGAGAGAGAGAAAGAGACAGAGAAAGAGACAGGAGAGGGGGGGGGGGGGGTAGGGTCCGGTGGGGAGGGGCTATGGAGTGAGAAGTACATGGAGTTCTCTATTGATCTAAGAGATGATACAAGTAGGCACCTGTTTAAAGGTGAAGTCGTAATTAATGGAAGGTTGAAAAGTCCGGACAAAAATAGTGTGCATGCCTTTTAAAAATGTGAATATGGATGAGCTAGTAACATCCGTTGTTGTTCAATACTGACTTATAGATGGTCAAAAAAATCAGGATAGGAATATGGAATACAATATGTACATGTACATAGGCGTATGGGCACATTTTTTTAAGAGGAGGGGGGGGGGGGCTTGTTGCTTACTTGAATAATAACAAAATAAAATAAAAATGGTGAGAATGATCTTTTGTCATCAAAATATAATATTTTTACACTTTTGTGCGGATGGTTTACAAGTAGAATATGTTAGTGATCAATTACTATAATTCTTGACAGGATAGACAGAAATAGAAAACATGTCTGTTGGTGTTTGAACCCGACTATGAAAATGTTGTTTTGATGCTCAGGGAAAAAAATACATGGGGGCTCGGGGCGAAGTTACCCCCGTAATGGCAAAAAAGAGCCCCCGAAAATCATCAAAGAGCCCCCATGCTGATTTATGGAAAGTCATAACATGAGGGTAAAAACAGTGCATTCCCCAACTCCTCAACCAACGTGAATATGGATGAACCAACAAGATTGACAATAATCAATAATGATGTAAAAATTAATGTATGGTCAGAAAGTTCATGCAAGAATATGCTTGCCGTTGGCCAATACTTGTTTAAAACATGAATGTAGATTGGCAAACATGTCTGGGGGTAATCAATGCTGATTTATAAATGTTATAGATGGGCAAACTTCCCTTTTTAACATACTGAATTTGAATTATGAAAGAAACTACATGAAAGCATGCCCCTGTACAATACATGTACCGTATGTACAATTTAGTTTCAAGGAAAGGCATTTTAGAGATTCCAACAGATATGAAAAAACGTCAAGAACTATTGATCTGTGAAGTGTACAGTATATTTTACAACACTGACTGTAGTGCAATCAATTTTGATTGGAGAATAGTGATGAGTAAGGCCAGGTTGTATGAAAACGAATGATGTGATGTGATAATGATTGCTGCAGGAATGCATTACTGAAGCTGATTGCACCAGGAATGCCCTTGATAAGTTTCATGCCAGTGTAAAGGTTCATTTAGACATGGCGCGGGAAACCGCCTTTAAAAAATGCTGCGGCAAAATGAAATTAAGTAAAGCTTAATGTGCATCACCAAATTTGTATTACAGTAATAGATGATAGAGAAGGTGTAGGACTAGGAGGCTTTGTTGCAGAAAGGTTATTTTTCTCTAATATGTTTGTCATACATTTACATATAAAGTGGTTCTATTTTTCTGTTCAGGGTTTTTATTTAAGCAGGGTTATGATGTCTTGTCTGAGTGGGGCTTGAAGATGGAGAGAGTACAATCCAACAGGGGATTCAATCATTCAGAGTATTTGCCTCCGCAGCTAGGAGAAGTGACGTCCATGACTCCTCCACTGCTCTATCCATTCACACGGAGAGCTGGATGGAGTGGGAGAGAGGTGGAGAATAGAAGGAGAGAGATAGAGTGGAGAGGGAAGACAAAATCTGAATGTATGGAGGGAGGGAGGAAGGGAGGAATAGAGGGAGGGAAAGAGATCTTTTGAGAGTGAAGAGAGAAGCTTCTGAATTGTGAAACATTAATTTTTATAGCATACCGCAACACAGAGCACAATTCGTGCACTACATCTATACAAAATTTACTTGTTCTAAGCCATTTTTTTAAAGGTAGCTAAGCTGCTGTGTGGAGTCTGTGGACGTAGTTTGAGGGTAATTCTAACTTAACCATACAAATTCTGATATTTTTGCTCACCGAAACCCTAGAGACCTACCAAGGGAATTGTTTTCATTTTTAAAAATTTGATCAGAGAATGCTACTGTCCAGTGATGCAACGATCTCTTGAGGCCCGGTTAAAACGGCTTCTTCTAAAGGCTCGCACGTACTCATCCGTACGTAGGCATCTCAAGGAGGAATAAATAATCTTCACATGGAAATATGATCTGAGCTCTTTTCAAAATGAATTCTTGCAGACTGTTTTCCCCCTCCCTGAAGATCGTGATGTCAGCGCTCTCGCCGACCCTCAATTGATTTCCGCAGGTCGTTGAGAGGGTTGCCGGATGAGGAACCATGTGCAAAGTCACACACTCTTTCATGGCGTCAGATAGAAGAAAGACATCGTTAACTCACTTGAAACTGTTTCATTTTCATTTGATGTGCAGTCCAATAGGCTTAATCCCATTTTGTCTCAGATTCAGCCTTTAATTGGTTAAACTTTGCTATATATTCCGTGTTGACAAATTTGTAAAAGAATAAAAGATTTGTACAATCTTTATACATGTTTGATGTCTTCTTGTTATTTTGAGTACCGGGAGTTTGAAGTCATCATCCCATTTTGAAAATATCTATGTCAATTTTGAGTGTAAATCAAATATTTTATCGGATTCATTCATGATGTTAGATATTGTGTTAATGATGCATGTTTTGATTGGTGTTGCTTTCAACATAAACTCAGGAAATGGTGGGCATTTCATAACATATTGATATGGTTGAGTTCTGTACGCAGAAACAACACCATTTTCCTTTTTGTTCGCTCTTCACTTTTGACCCACTCTTTACTCAGTTTGTTGAAGACTTCAAAACATGGAAAACATACAGTTACAGCAAGAAAGTTACAAAAGAAAGGAACAAGAAAAACCCTCACTATTCCAATACTTTAAGTATAAATGAACATCAGTATTTTTCAGAAGACACCATGTGCATACTGATATGGTCATTTTCTGTTGCCGACTCTAAGTTCTAACGATTCCCTCCTATTTTTCTCTCCCCCTCAGTTTGTCGAAGACTACGAACCGACGAAAGCAGACAGTTACCGTAAGAAAGTCACTGTAGACGGCGAAGAGGTTCAAATAGATATTCTAGACACGGCGGGCCAGGAGGATTATGCTGCAATAAGGGATAACTACTTCAGATCGGGAGAAGGATTTCTATGTGTCTTCAGTATAACAGAGCAAGAATCGTTTGCTACAACAACAGAATTCAGGTATTTAAACACATTGACATTATGTTACAGATGCAATTCTTATTCCTGTCAGGTTTTTTGGTATTTCGTTATTTTGTGCCTTTAACATAAATCACTGGTAGTAAAAGTGTTATGCTAGGCGCATACTACATGATGAATAATATAAATTTAGAATAGAAGTATAGGACTTAGGTACTTCCTTTAAATATTGCATGATTCTGATTCTGAATATAGCTATAGAAAATGATAGTCGAGCTTCCAGGTAGTTTGAAAAGCATTTGATTACATGATGCTTTCTGTACACTTATATTTGAATGAAATCTAATTCTGTTAGGGTTACAAAATACATGAAGTATTGAATTAAATTTCATGTCCTTCCGAAAACAATTGTAAAATGTTTGTTAAATGTAATTAGATGTTTCATATTACAATAATTGATAGCAAAAGATCTGCATGTCAATTCTACACATATGTATATTGCATGATTCAGAATATAGATAGCTATATAGAAAATGATAGTTGAGTCTCGAGGTAGTTGAAAAGCATTTGATACACATATGTATTCAATTGATTATTTTTTCTTTTAAATAAAATACACAGTTAATACATTTTATGCTAGATATTTCTCATTACAGATCCCCATAGCGTTTTACATTTTGCATCACCAGCACAGTGCATTATGGAACACAATCATGCACTGTGCATGGTGTTGGAGTTATTACACATTAGGTTCCTAATTGGCACTTTACTGCTGCTCATCATACCTTTGTCATTAGATGTAAAGCTCACCACTAGATGTGAAAAAACTCTATAGTAATTCCCCCATCTCCTGTCGATTAAATATTAACCAGTCATGAAATGGGAAATTGATATGAATATACTTTCCAATTTATCTCCATTCCCAGTTCCCCCTGTCCACTTCATGAATTATCCACAATCATTTTTCTGTGGCTTATCAATAACCGACCCATCCCTTGTTTATTAGTGGGACAGTCCTTACTATAGTCTAGTCCTATACTGAAATATGTTGTTACACTATAGTATACAGTAGATGCCTGTAGGATATACTTGTAGTTTCTCATTTTTTCCCAGTCCAAGGAAAATTTCACTGTAAAACATGAACTGACCATCTCCATTTATCTCATTTCCTATCTGTTAAAGAAGTAGACTATGCTTAAATATGAAATCAATCCAAATACACAAGGGCTCGGGGCAAAATAGCCCCCGAACTGCCCAAAAGAGCCCCCGAAAATCAGAAGAGAGCCCCTGTAAATTTGCATAGAGTTCAATGCAAATTTTTTTTTAGAGTGTTATTTTCATGCAGGCAAGCTTGAAAAGAAGCCCCCGAAAAATAAGTATTAATTTTTTCCCAGTGTATCTTTAAAAAGAACAATTCATCATTGAGTAACAACAAGTGATATCATTCTTACATTACTGTTTTGCATTGGCGTATTGCAATAAATGTAAACTCTATAATAATTACTCCAATACTAAAGGTTGAACCATTCCTTTAAAGTGGGTTTTCCCTCTCAGATTTCATATGGCTGTACGGTGTCTTTCATCGGTGTATCGAGTGGAGATAGAACTGGGCGTGATGAGATTAATTAATGGTCTTATCCGCAGTAAATGTCCCCTAAAGCTCTGGGGTAGCGGCCATCCCTTTTGATTGCATCGCATCAGCTAGGTTATCAACAATAGCAAAGATTTTGTTTTCATTAAAGGATTATAGGGGACTGAGAAGACTAAGCACAAAAAAGTATATGAATGGAATCTGTTTAATAGAGTCCTATGGTTTTCAATTCTAGAAAAATTAATGATTAGCTGATTGGTGCGTTTGCTTGGATGAAACAAACATGGAAGGGATTTTCCTAGAAATTTGTTCCTGTGGATATCGTCTCCGATCTCATTTAATTACTGCTACACAACACGTAGCTTATTTCAAGGGATTGAATTCATGCAAATGCATGGGGAATTTTTTGTATCAAGTTGCAGGGAATTACCTATAGAGGCCCCATTAATATTGCAGGAAAACCAATATGAAAAGCCATCATTATTTTGAACTACTACTACCACTTTAATACACAACTGGAAAACCCATGAAAATGGTTGGTGTTAGCTTATTCTGTGTTTTTAGTGATTTTTTTTTAGTGAAACATGAATTTGGACTAATACTAGCTATACTGTAAACGTGATATTTATAGATCATGACAGCTGTTATTGGAATAGATTTGAATTAACAAGCCTAGTTTTGATTGAACATCCTGGATTTCTCTTTGAAAATTCTTGAAGTAGTGCCACCCTCTCCCCATTACAGGCATGCCATCTTGATGTGGATGCCTCCTCCTCTAATTGTAGAGTTCACACTTGACCTAAATCCCTAAATCCGGTTTTTAAAAACACACGGAAGTGTCAGTGTGAACATGCCCGGGAAAGGCCAATATGTATGTAAATCGTGTGGATCCGCTTCTCCATGCATACTGTCCTAATTAAAGGGTGTTTATGGAGTATTCCCGCATTGATACAAGGAGATGATGAAAGGTAAACGAGCCTCCCATCAGGAAGACATTTCACTCCCAATCAATATCATCATTTTACATCCAACCCCAGAGACAGGAAAATAGATTTTCATTTTTGGGGTATTAAATATTGATCCCGGCGGTGTAAGAGCCGTAATGACAGAAACTTGTATTACATTCTAATTGATCTATAATGATTGATTTGGTATCAATCTTGCTTTGGATGAGTTTTCTCTTTCAGCTTTTATCACATCTCTCTCTCTCTGTCTATCTGTCTCTCTCTTCTCTCTCTCGTCCTCTTTCTCTCCATTGAATTGAAAGAGATCCTCTATTTCTAGGTGGATAAAAGACTCTCTCTCTCTCTCTCTCTCTATCTCTTCCTCTCTCTCACACACACAGTCATAGCATCAATCTGTGTAGGCTACTATTAATCTTTTAATAGCATTTCTTCTCTCTCACTTGTCCTGGTATATAATGTATATTTAAAAATTATTTGATTAATGTGTTCTGTTTATTGCTGCTCGATACTGTGACTAGCATCTTAACCTACATTCAGAATTATTTTCTAGATGATTTCATACAGGTTCCACTCCAAGAACTATGGGGTTTAAAATTTCTTTTTAACATAACATGGGTCGCTGTATTAAAGAGAAGGTTGAGTTCTGGGAAGAGATGAAAACTTGTTTGTAAGCGTTATCATTGTTATTATGCAAGTGTGGAAGAACATCGGATAAAAAATGTTCCCTGAAAAGCATGGCTCTTCAAAGGCCTTAATATTCTAAATATGGCATTTAACAGCATAAAAATCTGTCCCGATTTTTATGACACATGTTCGTGTAGTCCCATTTAGATATTTCTGTGTATAGTGCTTGTAACTTTACCAAGACTGGGCAAAATTTTGTATCAATTTGATGATTCCAGAACCTTGCAATGTGTATATGCTAGATGATCAACCCTTTCTGATCGATTCCACACCGTTTCTTTCACACTGCAATCACATGACCAGAACTCAACTTTATCTTTTAAGTTTATGACGAGTTGGCAACTATTCGCTCTGAAAAGCATCTTAAAGCTTATCTGTACTAGTTTATAGGAGGGATTAGACCACACTGCAAGGTCACTGGACAAGTGGTTATCTCATCAACTCAGCTCTCAATTAACATAAGAAAAAGAGGATCATGGGGGACCAATGGTCACCGATTAGGCATTGTTTTCTATATAGAGGGAACAAGTAGCTACCAGTAGGACAGTGTGGCTTTAAACTATGCGTGTCATTTATCCTCCGTTATCCAACCTGTTCCGTGCTTTGCTTTGCCTTGATTTCTCCAGGGAGCAGATTCTTCGAGTGAAGCACGATAAAACAGACGACCAGATCCCCTTCTTACTGGTGGGCAACAAATCAGACTTGGCAGACAAGCGGCAAGTGAGCGAGGAGGAAGCATCAGAAAGAGCAAAGACATGGAACGTACCCTACGTAGAAACGTCAGCCAAGACAAGAGAAAACGTGGATAAAGTAAGAACAGAGTGCAACAGCTATTAGTATTATTAAGAGATGATCCAACAAAACATTCTTACTTGGTAGGATTCCTCCATAAGACGTGAAGGTGTTTAAACTGGAAGTGTGTCGTGATGTGCGGCCACCAACTTAAGGTGCTTGTTTTAAGTTGGTTTTAAGTGCAGATTTAAAAACATTTAAGGAAGGTTGGGCTACAATAAGGGAGAAAGACTGTTCCAGTCCTTTACTGTTCTTGGGAAGAATGAGTATCCATTCTGGTTGAATTTGCTCTGGGTTTAGTTTTGTAAAAGACATGGTTAGGGTTAGGTTTGCAATAAGGTTTTATGTTAGATTTAGGGTTAGGGCTAGGCTTTGTGTTTTAGATCCATTAGTTGTTCATCATGGACTGATTGGGATTTGCAAAAAATACAGTGGTGTAGTGTTTCATAGATTGGATTTCTGGATTTCTGCTCCGAGTTCGAGAAAATGCAAAAAAATATATTAAAGAAATAATGATACTCCGAACACGTCAAAATTGTGTTTCACATTTGATTTCTTGAATCAGTAGCTCCTGGGTTCCAATCTCTGGCCCAATACTTTTCTGCCCTGTAAACAAGGCATTTTATCTCTTTGTATCTCTTTAGCTGGATGTAGTAAATGGGTACTGTAAACGCTGTTATTTTCGCGTGATTAATTTTTTGCACTGAGCGACCCCAAAACATATTTGCTGGTTCTTAAATTCGCGTTGAACGCAATTCAGCCCATTCAAAACATGTGTTACAATTAATGCTTATATTTATGCGAGTTCTAAAATTCACGCTTGCCAATCTTAGCGAGAAATCCGCAAAAATTAATACATGTATACCCCGAATATTTCTAATTTTACAGTATCTGGTTTAATAAACTTTCTTCTCTAACGTTGAGCGAAATGGATCGTCTGAAAGCCGGGGGAAAATTTCGAAAGTGAAGAGAAATATATTCAATAACTCATACCCCCTCTATACCCGAAGAAGTTAAGAGCTAAAGTGAGCTTCAGCGAGGCATACTTTCAGCTGGATTCTAATCATATTATCGATAATGAAATTCATCTGTTTCGAATGCTCTAATGAAATAATGAGACTAACTGGAGGGCACTCATTAACCAATTGGCAGCGTTGGGGCTTCGGGTGATGGCAAATTATGGTATTGCTAATTGAGAGTGTGGAAATAGATTTTTTTTCTCTGATTGGAATAATTCTTTGGCTGTCGGGATAGTTTTGATTGCCAAATTAAAGTCACCTGGCAATGTAGTATTTAGGAAACATGAAGTAAATATAGATACGCAGGTAGTTTATTTTTGGTTTAAAACCTTCCCTAACAATAAAATATAATGATTTTTTAACTGTAAAAGTGGGAGTTCGGTTATCATCCATGTTTTGTTACAGCAAAACTATAATTCTCTTAAAATCACACAATATACTGTAGGATTAACTTTAAAAGTTTAAATTTTGCATACAAAAAAAATCACATGCGAGCATTGTGGTATTATATTTCAATTTATAAAAAAAGGAAAAGCAGGAATACTTGCTCATATACATGTAGACCTTATTTACTGCATCCTTATGAAATGGCATAGAAAATTATGAAAATATATGTATCATCATGTATCTTTAAAATTAGGCCTACAAAACATAGTTAAAACATGAATAGCTCCCTTTGCTTTCTGATAAATAAACCTTTACAGAAGATGACAGGTTCATTTTTTGAAAATATGACATACTATTGATTGTTACTTTTCTTTGTTTTCTTTCTCTTTTCTGCTTCTAGGTCTTCTATGATTTGATGAGGAAAATCCGGGACCAAAAGGCGCTGGAGACACAAAAGCAGAACGGCAAGAAGGGCAAGAATAAAACGTCAGAGGGCAGACGAAAGAGAAAATGTATCATATTGTGAGGAAGAGAGGGAGGGGGCGAGGGAGGGAGGTAGACAGTCGGATTAACCAGACCATTTTTGTAATGGTCTATTTATTTCGCCTCTTTTTTATATAATATACATTGATATGATGTAAAATGCAAACGTAGGAGCCAGTCTATTTCACAGGCATTGCAAAGTTTCTATTGTGTTGTAGTAAGGACTCGTTCCCATATGACTCTGTAAACTGCCGTGACAAAATAAAAAAAACTACCCAGTATTTTGTGAATGGATGGCGATGGGGTATAACAAAAAAGTGACTTCATGCAACTAAAAGCCCCTAAGTGTACTCACATATTGATGTGATATAAGATACTTTAATATCTCGTTGTATTTTGCTACATTGGTTTTCTTTGTTTTGAGGTTGTTACACGTCACATAGGAACGAAGACTTGAGAGTTGTTTGGAATCGTCTGCAGGGTTTAGCACCTCACGATTCCTTGCAGACTTGGTGTTCTTTCTGATCAGAGGGCATGTCTTGCTGCAACGACATCACTTAACAGAGATACCATGCAGAGGAAATGAAATGAACAGTCTTTGCGTAAAAAGCTGGGGGGTGTTTCACGAAGATCCTTAGTTGAACTTATCTCTAAGTTGGACTTAACATTTATGGAAAGCCATTACCATCTATGGAAATATTTTGTAAAAGTTATGTTTAAAAGGCATAGAATGTTGATTCAAATCTTTCATATTTTCTATTATCAAGGAGATTTCATGTTCTTGATGTGGAATTTATAAAAAGTCTAAAATACTTGAATTTTCGCTTTTGAATATATTTTATTTTAAGGCTACAAATGGCTCTCCATAATTTTTAAGTCAAACTTAGAGTGAAGTTCAACTCAGGATCTTTGTAAAACACCCCCCTGGTTGTTCAGAACGAATTGGTTGATGGACAAAGCTCAGCAGAAACAAGAAAAGTAGTCTTGTCTGTAATCTGTATTAAAGAATAGTTGGTCACTGTGGCAGACTTTGGCTGTATTTCTCAGCCTCTGGTCAAGGAAGTTTACATTTTACCTCTTTGTCCTCTTTGGATTGAAATGCAAGACTAACATATCGTTTCTAGAGTCTATTTACGTACACATTGTATGTGTGACAAAATTGAGCTGTGGTGGGTCATCGTTTGTCCCATAAGTTGACCTAAGCAGAGAAGGAGTTAATGTTAAACCATACAAAGATACCCAAATTGCCATTTGACAGAAAACATATTCAGATTTATGGATATTTCTTTCCTGGGGACCTGCTGACAAGGTATTCCATTAACCTGATATTAATGAATGAACTACAATACTTGGAATCCAGTCGGCATACCGGTGCATTACTTGTTGCTATATTGGGCAAGCTTCAGGCAAGCTTTCAGGGTGTCAAGAACAACCTTTCATTAAAAAGTATGCGTACAATTTGAATATGGAAAACGGTCTGTGCCTCAGAAACTCCATTTTATTTGGATCTTACATTCTGTTCTGGGCTTTAATTTAAAAGTAAGACACTTATTCCTACCACGAAAAGAAACATCCATCGTGCCTGTGATATAGACTGTTTTAGTATATACATCAGGGTATATTCACAGCAATCACCAACCGTAAAAGCAGAAACTTTTATGTTCATGAAATGTTTGCGTACTAACTTCGTGGGTGGTTCAGATTCACAAAAGTTTCATGCCGCAAACTGATTGAATCACATGTACACAATATTAAGTTTTTGCAATTCACAGATGTTTCATGCCTTGAAAATGGCCTCCTTAATAGGCCTTAACAATTTGCAAAAGCTTAATGTTGTGAAAGTTTCTGGTTTACAATAGCTTTTCCCATGTGGATATCTAATTGTCAAGTAATGCATCTTTCAAAAGCATTTGTCTTCGTTCAAATTAACGTTCAAATTAACATGGTTGCGGTATATTAAAGTTTGATTGCATATCCTTATGTTACAGGCACACATAATGAAGTATACTTGATTTGTTTTTATACTTTAACAAGAGATAACATCATCAAGTTCAAGTCATGATTATTACATCATTTTTTCAAAAAAACATTTTCAGTAAATAGAACTTTGACATGTGATTAATAACCAGAGAGCTGTGAATACACTTTAATGTAACTTTTCTAACATAATCATTTATTCATATGATACTAACGAGAATGGAAATCTAAGGAAAATTATATACTGACAATTATTATATTCAATGTATGTAAATAATATAAATAGTTGAAATAGATCCTGAATATGTGGGTGTTGCATATATGTGCGAAACCCATCAAGCACTTTGGGGGAAGTCATGGTATGATGATGGCCTATGGCCTTTCTCTATCTTCTATTCATGCATTTTTGTGTCTTGTTAATGTTTATAAGAATGGTAAAGTTGACCTTTTTCATCATGTTTCGATGTAGTGTTCCGATTTCCAGGTCCGTACCAACATATTAGAGTTTATGAAGAAGAAATTGCCTGTAATGAATTTTCACCATGGAGTAGAATGGTGAATAATATGCAGCATAAGCACATTAGCATTGCTGCATACCAATTGTCATGAGCAATACAAGATTTTAAGTATGTGGGACCTGTGTAGTATAGTACGCTCCCATAGACTTTCATTGGTAGTTAGTGGTTTTCACTCATTCTATGACACCCTTAGAATCAGCCTAGGCTAGTATGCTTTTGTCTGGTAGTATAGATTACCCAAGTGTGACGTCATACTGGCCAAGTTGTCATGGTTACTGGTTCCAAACAATTTTGTGTTAAACAGTGGTGTTGTGATAACACTCCAGCCCAAAACAATGAATTTGCCCTGCTTCAGCCCATTGCTTGAACGTACGGTTTCATGCCGAACCTCATGCCGCAGGCTCTGCTGTTAAGAACCAGTATCCTGGACGACGAATGAATATGACGTTAGCACTTCGGTACTCCATTGGTCTGTAATGGTTTGTGTGCATACAACTAGAATACATTTTTTTGAGAGGTTTCTCATGGAATTTCTCAAATCAGAGAGTGCAAAACTAGATAATTTATTACTCACAAATTGTCACCATGCAATAGTTTTTTGTGCCTGTCTGGCAAATGTCATCACTTGTTTCTATACAGTAGTTAGCTGCATCAGGGCTTAGATTAGGAGAAAGAAGGATATGGGTAAAAGAGTGTTTTATGTAGTCATGGATTGATTGCCAATCTCCTAATATATCTTGATGGCACGTATCAAGAAGATAAAGCTCACAGATTGTTGCCTCGGTGCGAACCAGGCCATGTTTTGAGGTGTTGTTTTCTGCACACAAGCAAATGGAACATACATGTACATTTATAACTAGCAGGAAAGTTTGCATCGATCTTAACCCTTCGCCTACCGGAACCAAGTGGTCCCTGTGTTAAGCCTATGGGAATGAAAGAATTCAGTAGCCTGTGGGTTAAAAACGCTGGTTTATTGAGCACCATGCAGAAGGGCATAGTAGACACATGAAGACGCGTAGCTGAAGGGTGGTATTCATGTTAGGGCAAGAAGCACTGTGTTTATGTCTTATTTCACTACACACCATGTTTTTCTTACCTGTAATGTCTACCTACTTCAATTTCAATTTCAATTTATTTATGTTTTCAACGAAACATTACAAATCAATTATAAACATTTACAACAAAATAGAAATACATATTCGAAACAGAGGAGTCCACTGAGAAGCAATGCTTGTACAAGTGTGAACACCTCAAATGATACTTAGGAATAATGAGTAATTATGTATGTACACTCTGAGGAGAACCGATTGCTCTCTAGACTCTATCAAACTGCTTGTGTCCTCAGACACTCTTATCAAAACCAACATGAAATTGTACAAGAACACTGCCTGAATCACTTGGATATCAGCTCTTCCTAGAGCCTCTTTCATACCTAATAGGCTAATACAAACTTCATATACTAAACATAGGGATAATTTTGTGGTTGTTAACATTCTCATGTCTGACTTTTTACATGGGTTGCTGGCCTTGTGACATTCAACAAATTGCTCAGGGTTGGAAAACTCATATACAGTTGATTGCATAAAATTCAAATGAAACAATTTGTTAGTTAGCCAATGCACAGGCAACAGAGGGAAGACGTATATATTGTCTGACATGAGTTAAGGTGGTCAATAGTAACCAGGCAACTATCAGTTTAAGCCCACAGTATATGTTTTCCTTTTTTCAAATAAATAATTTATTTATGTTATTAGTAATATATTATTTATTTTTTCCTTGGGGGGGGGGGGGGTGGAAAATTGTCAATGCCATCTGTAAGAACATGAGTAATGTGTTGTCACATTTCAATGCTATTTGCATTTTCTATGGAAGTTGTCATTACTCTTTGTGCTGGAGGCTTAATTACTTTCAAGCTCAAAAAAATGTCCATATGTAACCTTTTGGCACTACATAGAGACAATTTGTTTATGGATATACTGATACTGTTTGTGTCTTTTATTTACTACCGGTATGTTCTAGTAGATGTCTTATTTGTTTTGAACAAAATAAAAAAATCACCTGTTTAGGAGAACTAGTATGATCGCAAAATTACTCTAGAACATGATTGAGATGTAGATACTTCCTTCTTTGCAAATGAACATTTATTACTGTACATGCATTTTATATACGTTTTAAATAGTTCAAGTTTGTTTTATGTATTATTGGAACATGCTTCCTTCTTCCATCATGAAATCTGTATCACATGTGTACATCTTCTGAATATTCATGTCACGTTGCTCGTATTTCTGTATAAATTGATAACTTCATAATTGTAGTTACCATGTTTGTTTATATATTTCCTTGTATGTATCTATCTATGTATATAGTTCAACATAGCCTTATCTTGCATGATCATTACTTTCAATCAGAGTAAGCATACAAAACTGTGTATAATTGAGCTTCATCCCGTTTTTGGTCAGTCTACTTTTAATTTGTAAATGAACCATTTAGAATTCTTTATTCTCTCATACCGGTACTTTTCATCTGTCTAGACCAGACATGAATGTGTGAATAATTAGAATTAGATTCAAGAAGATATACATGTACCGAAACTCTGAAAGAGAAAATCACCATCTGATTTTTGGAAGTTATACAAGTTGTACGAGTGACGTGAAAGTCCTGTAATGCACGCCTTAATACAACTCATTGTCAGGAGCATACGTTACTTACATCTTGTGACAATGATGATGTTATTATAGAATAACAGTTTAATAGTTATCGACAATGGATTGGTCAATTCATTTTTGTAATGATTTAGCTTTCTCTTCATACGGCTTTGCTTTACCACATGCTCAATGAAAAATAAAAACCCAACTTAGAGTCAGTAATCGGAAGTCAGGTTTTAGAATAACCTAAAGAATCTAACCGAATAACTCGCAACTAAAATCAAATAACAGAAGTGTTTCCTTCTAGTTAATAATCAATTTTACTTTTGCGCAGTTATTCCCTTTGTGGTTTCAGGGGGGCGTTACACAAAACTTGTCATCAGTGACAAATGACAGTTGTTAAAAGTTACTGAAATCCTTGCTTCAGATTGGTTATCAGCAGATTTGTCACTGATTTTTGTAATTTGTCATTGAAAAAAGGCTTTGTGAAACGGGCCCCTGTTCTTTGTCTAGGATTTTTATATCAGGCTACAGTCGTTTAGTGTGTTTTTTTTCTTCTTATAAATAGGAAATAAAGTATTCAAGAATTTAGGTGTGAAATCATCAATGATTTTCTAACCGAAGAACTGAGATGTCAAGATTCTTGAAGTAGTTTTCCTTTGTATACAGGTGGTCACTTTCAATTATGCACTCATTGATATTTTGTAATAATGTTCATGTAATTATACTTTTGAAATCATACAAATATGTGCATTTATGAATTATTTAGGAATATTTCTTTCATTATTCTATCCTAATGTGATATGCTAATCATTTTGAGAAAAAAAATAATAAAAAAATACAGAAGTAACAATTAAATTTGATGTGTTTTGGTGTGTGCTTTGGGCCATTAACATTTTTTTTTTTAATATTAAAATTTGTAGCTTCAACATTTCATGATCACCATCATTAGAGGTTTAAAAAAAAAAAAAGTGTACAGCCCTTTTCAACGGATCCAAATATCTCGAAATCTATGGATGGCTTTTAAAATAAAATTTTTTTTTACTGTTTTTTAAGAAAAAAAATGTTTAATGAATAAAAAAAGAAGAAAAGATTTCCGACCGACCGACCCACGTTTTGGGACCTAAAGGGCAATATACTATCTTTTTTCTTAGGCCTTATGATAATCGTCTCAAATTTTATCATCATTTATCTACAAATCATCACCACCCTCGATCCTCCTCCTCAGTTCATTAATCCATACATATACCGGTACATATATCTGCATTATCGCAGAATAATACATCTGATACATCTGATACATCTTGTTCTAACATACACACAAATACACTAAAGAGGAACCAATGCAAGGCATTCTTTTTAGTGAAAGCGCCACTTTTAATAGAAATAATTCAAAACACCACCACAAATAACACAATTCAATGTTACATTATTGTAGGATCAAAAGGTAATCCATTGTCTTAGTCACTGACGCAAATCTGTTGAAAAAGATTTCTTCTTGTTCTACATCTAAACTCATCATTTTGGTTTGTTTTTGTTTGGGTTTTCCTCTTTTTATTAATTAATTAATTTTTTGTTTCTTCTTTTTTTTCTGGGGGGGGGGGGGTTTGTTCTGGGGTGTATTTATAAACAATGTCAAAGATAAGGATGAATGGAAAAAGGATCTTTCTCTTTTTACCCCTGACCAATTGGCCATGACCAACACAGTGGATTACCTTTAATAATGTTGGATACAAGTTGATATTATAGTTTAAACATGCATTTTCCACAGACTCTTGCCAGGATAATATCGAGCAAGAGATACATGTAACACCAGTCACTGATTCAAATATCATTTACATATTTTTTTTTGCAACAGCTTCAAAAATCCTATTCAGAACAACATCATGAGGAAACGAGCTGTATCGATCAAGGCAAAAGTGCCGATAAAACCAATATAAACCTTTGCAATATTCAATGCAGTAAAATGTTAACAACCTTGTAAGTCCCATTTTACAGAGTTTTAAATATCTTATCAACACAAGGTGACCTTCAAAGTCTAAAAAATACAAGTCCTATCGACCAGTTCCACTACATGTACTACTCCAAGGCCCTGTTGCACTTTACCATTGATGGTAACGACCATGGAAACCTTGATTTTGATTGGCTGTTGAGCACCGTTACCATGGTAGTTGCAATTGTTGGCAAATTTAAGTTACCATCAATGCTAAGTTTTATGCAACGGGGGCCTGGTAACCTCTTGGATATCATAGATTATATAAACTTTCGTACAAATAAAAGAAGCATACGTTTTACGTACAAAACAAAGCATTGTTAGCATATTGCCATAAAATCTTAGAACATTTGGAAGAAATACAAAATAAGTAAATTCTATTGATTTTGTAACATATTTCAAACAGAAAAATTTAAGCTTATCTATCATGACTTATGGTAAAGAAAAAGAAAAGTACATAATACAATCGATCTGAACTGTTGATCATAGTGCAGTAAGTAATACAAAAAAATGTATTTAACAAACAAACGCTGGAAATGACATTCACTGAAACAACAAGTTCTTTTGCTCCACAATTGATTTGTATACAATGACATACATTTTCTTAGCTTTACATGCTCATTATACTTGGTTTTTTTACTTTTTTACTCATTATTCATTCGTAATAATGGATATTCAGTGTCAATTACATTTAAATCTAAATCTAAAACTTAATTTTCTCTTATTGCCAGAACCATCACTCAAGATTTATCTGAAATGAATAATAACAATAATAATAATAATTGTGATAACAACAACATTAAGAATAATTATAACATTGGATTCAATGTAGTACCACAGTTTTAGCTCAGTAACAATCAAACACTTAGAGCATTTAAGGTATTCCCTCCCAACCGGTACCCATCCATTATCTGCACCTGGATTTAGAGTGGCAACTGCAAGAAAATGCCTTTGATACGGACTTAACAAGCACCGAGGAAGAAAAAGAACCCTAAACCACTTGATTACAAATAGATGTTTAAAACAACACATGTACATACATTAGACAGCATTTCATAGAAGAAATGATATGCTTTGCTTTGGAAATTAAATTTCACGCCATAATATATACATGTATGATGATATACAATATAACACACAAACAAACAAGCAAGCCGTTTTACAGCTACCAACTTTTGCTAAGCTGAAATTCACAAGATATTGGCAATTTTGCCCCATATTTCATTTGAGCATTTACTTTGAGCCATTCCATTTAATATATGGATGGGCTTCCTAATTCCATGAAAACTAAGATATACCAAGCACTAAAAAGACAATTCAACATGTAGTGGATGTACTTCATATATTTAACACAAAGTTCAGTGTTTTTTACCCACCTCAAGTCATCAACATATTATGTTATATCAGAGTTTTTACTATCAAAATTCCCCATGTACATCATGTTCAAAGAAGTTTCAAGCCTTTCTTTTTTATAACTTGAAAAATTGTTTCAGAAACAAATTTCCTCTTATCCCATGTATTTAAATACGACAGTGCAAATACATTGTTTGTTTTTGCTATGGAATCATGCTACATACTGCAATAAAGTAAACATTCATACATACAGCATATATACATGTACATATATGATAAATACAGTTGTTTGTATAAAAGCAAATATAATAGATAACAAATTTCAACTAAAAAAGGAATACATACAAACAAGACATTGGCAAAAGTAAATCACACAAAAAATATGCTTAACCAGGATACTTTTAGGAGTCTTTTAGGGGAAGAGTCCCTTCATATTAATGCCACCAATTAAGACAGATTCCCATTGTATTATAGCATAACTTTATAATTGTGATAATAATATTAATAATATCTCCTATATTAGACTAGGCATGCTCCCTTCATAAACTTTAAAATACTTTAAATGTACTTGAACTTATTCATTAAATAACAACTATGCAATTTTATTTCAGTCATACAAACAAAATATCAATTTTACACTACACTTTATACCTTACTTTATTCAAACTATGTTTGGAAAATAAAGCAAGATATTAAAAGTTAAGTATTTTATACAAATTACATTTAAAAGTACACTCTATTAGACCAATGATGTCAATCAAGCACAGCGCAAGGTTGACATTTTTATTAATATTTTTAACAATTTTTTTTTTCTTCTTGATAGCCTATTCTACGTTCCTATCAAAAGTCATTCAAAGGGAGGGATTAATATGATCTCGATGTGAACTGAAAACAATATGCTTGCTTTAATTGGCTTTGTCTTAAGCAAAGCAGCATGCTATGCCATTAATTAATGTGTTCTTATCTAATCTTATCTCTACATTTTGAGTAAAATGGTTGATAGAATGTGAAAAAAGCCTCTTCTACATCCTACGACCCAGAAATATACTCACTTTTCATCACTTTGTAAGCTCAAAAGGAAAAATTAGCCAGTAATTTGTGCTACATGAAGCTTTGTGAATTTTGCAAGTAATTCAGATTCTTGAAAGTTTCATGCCACAAAATGATTGAAGTGACACAACAATGAATGTTTGCTCTTTGTAAAGTTTCTTTCTGCAAAAATGGCCATCATTTACAAAATCAGGAAAATGTTATGTTACAATTTCTTTTTTTTTTTTCTTTTTTTTTGGGGGGGGGGGGGGATTTATGGTAGTCCAATTTGGGCTTGTAGCAGACACATGAGCAAGGATACATTTAGTTTTAGAGCATTATATTTCATCTTCCTCCATTACAAAGAACATTTACAGATAAAGAAATGGCAATTTACAAATGTATCTATTATTGTTATATACGTGATAGAGTGAAGCTGAAACTCTTAATCACGCTGTAAAAGGCATTTTCTTATTTAGACCATAGGCCTGTCTTCATCAGCTCAAGTTTGCCAAATAACCTGCTATTTGAACAATCCCAATCGCAAATTATCCAGCTTAATTGTGTCTTCATCAGCCCGCAGTTGCAATTAGTGGGATATTTGATCAAGAAAAAATCCAGAGAAAATTTGGTCTTGTTTCCTAAATATCCCGCTATTTAGGAAATAGTGGGCTTATTTGCGCCCGTCTGAGCTAGATTGTGATGAGCCGATCTGTCTGGTGAAGACGCAATTTCTAGCTTCGTGATAATAGCCCGAGTCTGAAACTAACAGGTTTTTTGGCACACTTGAGCTGATGAAGACAGGCCTTATACGCCTTGGTCTGATTACAATCATATCTACGGCACAAAGTTAGCAATATAATTAGCCACACATTTATCAATATTCATCTGTCACACATCAAGTTCATGTTCAAGAAAATATCATTGATTATTCATTCAGTTACTCTTAGACAAGTTTTTGAGCCGCTTTTTACAAATGCACTAAACTTTCTGATTTTGTCTGAAGAAAAAAAATTCATACGATGAATAGCTTTAAATTCGGATATACAAAAGCTTTTCATCATACCGTATGCTAATGTAGTATAAGGCGAGAATGAACAGAAAGCCAAAATCAAGCTATATATAATTTTTGCATGCTTTATTTTTCTTTTCTCTTTTACATAGTTTGGGTAGTCTTAATTTAAAACTAGGGCAAGCGAGGCATAAGAATTTTTTTTTTTTCTAATTGTGTTTGGCAAGTAAACTCAGTATTTGTGTTGAGCCTTTATACACCCATATGCTACAACAGCCCTGATTTGTGGCATCAGCTACCTGCCGAACATAATCTAGACTGATCTAGAGGTAAGCAGGAGTCCTAACAGATGCAAACACACACAAGTTTGAACATAGGGATACATTCACTGTACCAAGATCAGTTGGCTGAAGGGGGGTGGGGGCATACAAAATGGGGATATTTCCATTAAATCCTGATTAGAATGCATCCGTATTGCAGTTTGGGCCTTGTAGCTTGACATATTTTTAATCTAGCTTGTCATATCTTGAAAAAGTGAGAGCCTTGACACTTCATCTGCTATCCTTGATCAGCGGCTTTACTAGCTGCTGAACATCAAGCCTGTAAGCACAAGTGGCTTGTAGAGCCAACCTGTTTCAAAGAGAGAGCCGGAGAGAGAGAGATAAAGAGAGAGAGGGGAGTACAAAGAAGAAAACTTGTAAAACAGATCATATTTTGTAAACATGCATGTAAAATTGGAAAATTGCACATTCCCTCATACTATTTCCTCTTAAAATCAATGAATTCAGAGTCAAAATGGTCGATAACCATCATCATTTGATCTCTTTTATGGCATTTTTTTAAATAGTAGGAAAAGAATATCATGTCAGTCTTTCACCCAACTCCCTCTCTTCCTCACCTGTATGAAATATTTGGTGAAACTTCCACTCATGACCTGCCGCTTTACCTTTTATTCTTCAAAATAATTACTGGTAGATGTTTTTTCACTCATACAAAATATAACGTAATATATGTTCATATGAACTAGTTTTCACTGTACCAATCTATTGCAAGAGAAATGAGTGCTGTCAAGCTTGGTAGCAATCATTACTTTGTGCTAATATAAAAAAACAAGGGAAACGCTCTCGGCGGTCTCGCCTGCATATATAACGCAATTCAATATGATAAACCAGAACGTCAATGACGTAGCGCTCATCCGCATCTCGCAACAACAAATATCGTAAATTTTATGTGGTACACTTTTGAACTGGTCAAAAAATAAAAAATTTGATGCCCTGGAAGGGACATAATTTCATTTCATTTGCATAAAATACCATAAATAATCAATGGAGCAAAATCTCACAATTCTGTGTAGAAGTTTAGTGTTCCAAATTTAGCTCTACCAGATGAGGCAAACCAAATCAAAATCGGTCAAGAAATGAGGGAAAAGAAGCAATTTTTGTTATTTTTGGAATAAATTTGCATAAATTACCATAATTAATTAATGGGGAACAATTTCAAAATTCTGTGTAGAAGTTTAGTGTACCAAAGTTAGCTCTACGATATAAAGCAAACCAAATCGAAATCGGTCGAGAAATGAAGGAGAAATGAAGGAGAAGAAGCAAAGAGACAAAAACAAGACAAATGCAACTGCATCTCCTATATGCCTATACCCTAAATTCAGTATAGGAAATGGATGAAATTATTTGTGACATATCACAATGAAAAAAACCCCTATCAATGTCAACTGACGACTATGATCTTGACCTACTAGCCCCAAAATAGGATTGGATCATCTTCCTATACCGGTAGTAATTAGACACCATGTATAGATATTGCAATAGCAAGGCTAAAAACCTGTAATTTCAGAAATTGACCTTTGACCTACTTAACTTAAATCTAATGAGACTGTCTTATGTTGATACGTTCTATCACCAAGTTTGAGGCTAATACCTCTATAAATGGTTCTTGAGATATCGTGATAACAATGATAAAACCTGTAATTTCATAAATTGACCTCTGTGACCTTTGACCTATTTATCAAAAATCTGATCAGATTATCTTCCTGTGGTAAAACATATTATCACCAAGTTTGAGCCTCATATATATATATATATCTCTATTGGTTAGCGAGATATTGTGCCAATACCTGGAATTTTCCAAGTTGACATATGTGACCTTTGACCTACCGCGTAGTTACTCCAAAGTCTAATCAGATTGTCTTCTTATGGTGGTACATATTTTCATCTGGTTTGAAGTTCATATTTCAAATGGTTCTTGAGATATTGCGATAACGAGAAAGCGTAACGGACGTATGGACGGACAGACAGACAACCCGAAAACATACCGGTAATGCTCTGGCATCACCTTTGGTGTGCAGAGGCATGAAAATACTCACTTAGTTTTCTGTCTTTCTTATAGTGCCAGTGATAATAGCAAATGGGCTCAACAGGCGAGTATTCACTTGATCCAGTAGTACAGTGTGTGCATCTGGCACTGAGCTATCGTTATCCAATTGGGAGAAATAGACTTCAAAGTGCACAATAGCTTGTTTCCCTTTTTTTCTATTAGTGAGAAAGAATCAAAGAAATTATCAAAGATAAAAATGAACAATAATCAAAACTAGCATCATATAGATTATGTGTATCGTAGAAACTTATTCAGAAGCACTAAATTTGATATGCCAATTAGCCTATAGTTTTCGATAGATGCGATATTTGTTAACATTACAGCTTCATTCGCACTTGATGCATATACACACTCGACCAACATTAATCAATTCCCCCAGATACTTTCAATATAACTCGAGAACTAATTGATGACATTTTTTCATTTAAAAACCACAGTATGAAGAAATTTATTATGGTTTTCCCATATTATGATTGATTCTGTGTGAACCATTGTTTTCATGTTGGTAAGGAATTTGAAAGAATTGAATATAGTAGACCCACGGTACTCAACAAAAATCTGCAGTACATAATGAAATGCAAATTACATTTTTCAATGACTATGATGAAAAAATTACAACACTTAACGATAAAACGATATAATCAATTGTTTAAAATAATAAGTCAAAATCTGGGTAATTAAATTCTTCAAAATTTGCTTTTAGAATGAACAAATTTCATCAAATATTTTTGGAGTTATATCAGCCCATGCCAAAGGCAATATACTTTTTTTTGGTGGAGACCAGGGCCCTGGTGCATAAAACTTACCATTGATGGTAACTTTGCCATCAATGGCAACTACCATGGTAACAGGGCTCAACAGCCAATCAAAATCAAGTTTTCCATGGTAGTTACCATAGATAGCAAAGTTACCATCAATGGTAAGTTGTAAGCGGCGGGCCCTGGAGTATATAATAATAATAATAATAATAATAATAACATTTTATTTACCCAGGGTAGCCACTTCGGTTATGAAACTGCTCTTCCAGCGGGCCCTGCATAACATAAAATGTTATTACTACCCTTCTCCAATCTAATATGCTGAGCGCCTAGCTAGAAGGCAGAAGGTCCCATTGTTATACATTAAAGTTGATACTCTAAGACAATCCCAAATACTGAGATAATTACATAAATAGAAAGCTTTTAACCCCCATAATAACACCAAATGGTGTCCACCCGACAAAACAAGTTTAGAATAATGAATTTATTCGAGTAAACTCTACCAAAATATCTAAGTCTGAAACCCGGAAGTGCACGTAGAGTCGGGCCTCTATCCGTGACGTCACGAACGGGAGTCATGGGCTCAGTGAGAGTGAATGGCAGTGATATCCCTACGTAAATGCTATCCTGTCAGAGCTTAGATTTGTTGTTGTTAAGGAGTATATTTGATGGATTTTCTGTTTTCATTTGAATGAAGAATAACGAAGCAACATTTTCCAGTCGCTGATTTCTTTTTATATCCTTATATTCACCTATTTGGTAGAGATTTAAGACGAGTTTACTGCTTAGGAATTAAAGTTAAATCGTGCACTTATGAATAGGCGGATGCATTATATTGTCATCAGATGTACATGAGCAGTTTTGTAAAACGAATAGGTCTAGAACTATGATAGTACTTATCATAGATGTGTGTGCCTGCCTCAAAAAAGGATACAGTACCAGTTAAACATTTTATGTTGTAAAATATCAAACTTGAACGAGATCATGCAAGCGCGCTTCCTCTATAATATTTTGGCGAGTGATGCGGCTCTTGCATGAACGTTCGTGAAGCGAGCAGAATCGGGAGGTAAGACCAAACCGCTGCTCTAGGCGCTGCTTGCTTGTGATGGAACGTACGTGAGCTAGTTATATGTTTATCGGCAATTGCAAGAGAATGAAAGCGACGTTGCCAGCTAAGAAAAACAACTAACAAAGACTTGCTCCTGACTACCGGTGTCAGAATTGGTAGATGAAGGATGTTCAGGGCCAAGGAAGGCGAAAGACATGGGGAAAAGGAAGAAGAAACCATCGGGAGATCGCTGTAGTGTATGGTAATGAACTGTGCATGGGTAGACAGCTACTGTTCACTCCGTGCCTGGGCCGATTTCAACACCAAAACAAAAATTACATGGTGAAAATATCGACTAATAGCACATCGTTGGCATATATGTCATAATTTTTAAAAGGGGAATTGATATTAATACTATGAAGTACTAGGGGAAGGTAAAGAATGGTACATAGAATTATGATTTATTAGACTTTTCAGCCTTTGAAACAAAAATATGCAGAAAATCGTATCACTCTGCACATGTTTGCTATGGAACATCCGGGTACGTGAATATACTCTCTCCCGGACGTGAGGTCATAAATAGTAGACCAGCGCCGTGACTGATTTTCTATGCAAAGAGAGGCGGATATTTTAGACATTTCAATTGAGGATTTCGAGTAGACAGAATTTTTGTGTGATATACTAAGTAATTGAAAAACTTAAAAATAACATATACTTGCCGTAGGTAACAAATTAAGGGACATTTATTTGCTTAGAGTATCAACTTTAAGTCTTTGGTATGACTCGGCCGGGGTTCACACCCACGGCCTTCTGTTCATGAGGCGGGCGCTCTAACTACTGAGCCACCATGCCCGGTTAATATATGAAAAATGTGATAAAGTGGAGAATAAACCTTCCCCAACATGATAGAAGTAGTTGGTTAGAAAATTACTCACTCAAAATCAGTCACTTTCATGCCTTCATAGTAAGCCAGGTATACTGGGTCATTGTGCGCATAGAAACACATCACCTATAATTAAAAAAAAGAAAAGATATAGCAACAGATAAAGACTGGATCTCTTAAAAAAGAAAAAACATCAACTTTCCAAATAAAAGGAATTTTTTTCCCCCATTTGTAAGTTCCCCTTTCCAATCTTTGTTTCAATTTTAAGCATTCATTTCAGAGTTATTTATTGTAAGACTCTGGGATTGATTACATGGCAAGGCATTGTAACCATGGTCTCATGAAACCCTATCCCTGTATGTTTGACAACCAAGGCCAGACAACAATTGTAATCGGAGCAGATGTTTGGTTATATACAAGTAGAGGTGGTCCTTACCGCAGCAATGAATCTATTTTTAAATTTCGTGTAGGCCAGAGATGTGTCATTCTCCAATGCTGCAGTGTAGTTCTCAGTTGTCTCGACGATACCTTGGATAATAGCACCGTGAGTAGGGAGAACTGCAAATGAAAACATGAAAGAAAAAAAACTTTCAAATACATGTATCAGCAGTGACTATCATTTTTTCAACAACAAATTTTCTGCAAATTCTCAAACATATCAAGACTACACCAACAGTCCTTTTCAGGACTATATGTGACCTGCTATGGCAAAACCCAACACTTCATGGTAAAAATGAAAATTGAGTTCTTGGTGTCATTGGAAAGAGTAAGGTATGACCTTTAATATGATACCTCATTTAAAGAAATTGATTCAAATTTGACAAAGTTATTGTCATTTTTGTGATTTCAATCACCGGAAGTTAATTATGAGATATTGAGGTTTAAAGTTAAGAATTTGGTTCAATTTTCACACAAAAAACATGCACACATTCACTCCATAGCAACGGCATCAACCAAACAAGCTAAAGTCTTGTAATTTTTCAGGCATACTTGACACATACCCAACTTACATTTCTGTTAAAACCATTAGATTTGAATAAATATTAATAAAGTTATGATAATTTTTAAAAACAATAGAAAACAAAAGAATTTCAAAGTTTTTGTTATACTAGGCAAAGTTGTTGGGAAAACGATTCCACGGTTTATTATGTTTCATCAGTACAAAATTGTTCTCGTACACAAAATAATAGCAGGTTACATCAATGTTGCAATAATAAAATGTAATAATGCATTTTCTTAAAATTTATGCTTAATAATAGGCCTATTACAAAACCAGATGTAATAAAAATGATTTTTTTTTTTTTAAATATATAAAAAAAAAGATTGCAATAAAGTGAAATAACAAATTGCGTTGAACTTGAAACCCGACAGAATCTGTTTTTTAAATGATAATTACTGGAACACAAGAAGCGAGTTCAAAATGATTTATATTTTGTCATATTTAATAAAAGCTATGATAAAAAGCATTAGTCTTAATCAAGGCTATTTGAGATTAAAAAAAAAACAAAAAAACTTATAAGTCACTCGACAACAGATAACCTATAATACATGTATTGTAAAAAATATCCTGGTACATTAAGGAATGTACAATAAAGTAACAGTTGAGACAATTTGACAGAACTATTGTCTTCTTGAGATAGAGATTAATAATGCAAAAATATCAATTTCAGTCAATCAGTATCAGATATAAAATAATTATATTCTTTCATTATCAACGTAAAGAAAAAACAATAACGAATCCCATAAAAAATGCAATCTGACTAGTGACTACACTAATCATGAACTATTATGCATTAGTGCCCAAGGATTAATGATGTACAGTTTTGAATCTTTTGAGTTATCTCGTTTCATACAAAATTCACAGCCGAAGAGATCAATAGTATGTACATAGGATAGACATTGTTAATGTCAATCTAACAAAAACCTTTACAAATAGAAACATATGGCAGTGGCCAAACACCGATAATTTAGTGCTGATGTTAAGTGCTGATATGCATCAAGCTTAGAATAAATGAACACATGGAACTATTATATTGCTGAACTGAAATGGCAGAAACTATAGTGGACAAAGTGACTGCTACTTATTACATGTAGACAGAAAAAATACTTTGTACACTTCAATGCTGAATACGTCCTGGAGGAATTTAAGTACCTAAAGTTTATGGTTTGACCCAAGCTATTATATTGCTGAACTGAAATGGCAGAAACTATAGTGGACAAAGTGACTGCTACTTATTACATGTAGACAGAAAAAATACTTTGTACACTTCAATGCTGAATACGTCCTAGAGGAATTTAAGTACCTAAAGTTTATGGTTTGACCCAAGCTACTCTGGTGCTGGACATACCAAGTCCCTAGTCTCTGGCGTACAGAACTCTCTGATCTGCTCATACAAATATTTCCTGCGACTGGCATCAAGTCCTGCAGGTTGGATGAGTGGAGGAAGTGTTGGTGGAGGTGACGGGCGAGCAAGGTCAAACATCTCTTCAGCACTGTCAGACTTTTCCTTGTAAAACACTCTACCAGGATGATCTTCAGTAACTCTGAAGTGTCTGGCGAATGTTATACGAGGAAATCGTTTGAAGTGTTTGCCAAGATGGTTGGACCAGTCGTACACCTTCACAAACACATCCCCCTTCTCATTTCCAACGAGCTGTGGAATATTGACCCCTGACACAGTAGAAGAATCTACAACATTAACTATGTCCTGGAGGCAGGAGACTTTGGTCTTGCGGTACCTTTGTTTGAGGAGGCCAAAGCACCAGTCAGGGGCGAATTTAGTATGTCCCACTGGCAAAAATGAAATTGAGACAGATTTGTGGAGATTACTCTCCACACGCCAACAGAGATATTGGAGCATGGTGTTATTCTTATTCTGTCCAGCACAGTTATCAGCATTGAAGTGCACATGTTGTTCTCCAATCCCGTAGTTTTCCAGAAAATGGTGGATGTAGCTTACAACAACATTGGCTCCTTTACCACAGCTGACGCCCTCATCTGCAAGGTAATTAACTTGAGCAGGCAGACCCTCTGCAGCCATGCCAAAGATGTGGCACTTTCTTTGTGTACGGAAATACGAAGGGCCAGGTTGTTGGGGGTCAGCTGGATAATGCACTTGCTGTGCAAAGTCGAAGCTGTAATGAAAAACTACAGGCTTGGAGTTCGCAGCATTTTTCCCTAGCTTCTTGATAGAATGCTCTCTCGCGACTGCCTTTGAGGCTTGACAGGCTGTCCTGTAGGCATCCCGCTCTCTCTGGGCCTCCAGAAGATGCTCCTCCTGCCTCCTGAGTGCCTCTGTCTTCTCTTCATCAGGAACATTGACCTGCAGACATGAGGGAAAAAGCAACACAAAACAAAAATCTCCTGATTAGTCGAATTTTCTCATCTACTATTTTTCTTTACAAATTAAATATTTTCTGTTACACTACAAAGTAGATCATTCTCAAATGGAAAACACCAGCTCACAATAAAGTAAAAGTTGGTTGACTTGGAAGAAGAAAAGAGTAAATGTATTGTAGCAAATTTCATTTCATTAAAACACCTGAAATTTGGACAGAGCTTTGTAACGTTTTCCTAAGGATCCAAATTATAATATTGATTATGCTTGGTACATTAATAGCTACATACATGTATATTATAACTCTACGTGAAAATACTTTAGCACCATTGGGGGCAGCAGCGTAAAACAAAATGAAATTTAAAACAATCGGTATTTAGCCAACACACACCTGTCTGGTGATAAGGTTGTTGTTCTGCTGACATGTCCAGCAGAGATCCGTGGCCGGCTTGGCAACAACCACATAGGAGAGAAGGTCGCTCCACAGCTTTCGGAAGGTAGACTCAGCTACGGGTCCATGCTCTGGAGCAGCATCTCTGTAGAGCCTCCACAGATGCGCCTTGGTGACGTAGGACGGCAGCAGTTTCACATCAGCCGATTTGAACCCTGGTATCCTGCCTGGTAGGTGAATGCAGTGTTCTGCGGTGAAATTCAAAATAAATTTGACGACCGCCTCTACCTGCTCTAGCTTGAGAAGTTTCTTGCCTCTCCGTCCTCCTGGAAAACAATGAACAAATATTGAACAAAAGTAAGATTTATTATGATCAGTATTGTGTCGGAATAGATTGAAACAGTAAGTAGAGGGATTAGATGTCAAGTTTTGAGTCCAGTTGTAGTGAAAATAACTGTCAAAAAACCATCGCAATTAACCTTTGGTAGATTTACTATGACTAAATGCATCACAAAATGATAATACAAATTATTATGAAGTCACACCTGAAGATAATAATAATTCAATATAAATGTAATTAAAATAATGTTAACTTCATTATAAATTTCATCATCTGTGAAAGGATAAGAAAACCACCTCACCTGACTTCTTTCTCCTTGGGATGAGTCCATTGCTGGCATACCACTTCTTGAGATTCGTAAACTTCTGTGGCCCAATCTCCATCAAGTAGAAAAACGTATATCTACAGATCCGTTTCTGCCCATAGCAAAAATTCCGCATCCTTGTGTTTTTCCTCTCCGTTGGCTTAGATTTCTTCCCCTGGGTCATATTTCCATCATTGATGGAAGACGAAATGATACCCAGGAGAAGTAAATCCTTTTCGAACTCCGTGAGCTCTTTGGTTGAATATCTGAAATGGCAAAATAGAAATGAAAAATAATAATGCTACTAGTATCTACTTCCAATGATAATAATGATAATAAGAAAACCAAATGTCCAACTTGTTGTATTTTTTTCTTCATAAGATACCAGTAGACTGCAGTTTAGTGGTGAAGTATTTTATAAAAGCATACATATTCAGGGTCTACTGATTAATGCTGCAAAAAAGGAGAAAATCTAATTAGCTTAGAATAAATGTAACTATATTTTGCATTAAACTGCAGCTTGTACATAAACATCCAGTCCTTAGACATTATTTTAAAGAAATAGGAGTAAATAGTGACAGATCCAATCATACCTTATGGACTCTTGTTCGGCTACAGAGAATTGTTCTATACAGCGTCTTCCATTGAAGATACGGCCGTTGCATTTATTCACGCGATCCTTCAGCGGTTCCAGATCAAGATCTATTTGTTGGGCCAGATTTGTAGCCGCTGCCGCCTCCTCCTCCACGTCATCAATGACAGGACCCGGTCTCCGTATGACGCTTTCATTGTCACTTGACAAATCCATAGGCTCCTCTGCCTCATCGACCCAATCGCTTTCATCGCCGCTTTCATCGCGGCTTTCACAAGGCTCTGCTGGTCCTGGACCTGCCTCCTCGAACTCATCAGACTCTGTTAAGTACAATTATAAAAGAGAGATTCAAAAACTAATATCAACAAGAAGTCTAGACTCCGCAGAGATTTTTTTTATCGGTATGAGAAGCTTCATAAATCATAATCTAATTTAATTATAAATTTTAATTAGAGTAGATCTAGACATCTAGACCTAGAAGTCTAGTGCACTTAAAATAAAGTAATCTAGCTTTTGTTGCTCGAACATTTTTTTCTCGAAACAAGTCTTTAATAAATAATATGGGCGTAGACCTAATTAAGTAACTTGATTACCTTTTTAATAATGATAATATTAATAAACCTACCAGATTCAGAGTCGGAGCTAGGCCTAGGAGAAGAAGGAGTTCCTCTCTCGCCCGCGGCCAGGGGCTCGGTCGGGTTCGCGAAGTAGTCAGCCAAGTGTTCGGTCAAGCCATGCACGTCCATACCGCACGCCGATGCATCATTCAACAAAGAAGCGACGGTTTTATCCGTTAAATTCCTCTTTTTCCTCGACATTGTACTAGCCACTCGACGAATACACGTATTTCACTTGATATATGAAACTCTAGCTCATTAAAAACAAACTTCTGAACAAGTTTTCGAAGAAAAAGCTGGTGTTTCGATGCGAGAATTTGACCGCTGAACAATCACAACAACAAGGCAATGACGTCATGTGCGAATATTGGCGAATCAAGTGTCTGGATTTGGATCACGTGGCTGGCAACGGGCTTTTGTTTACGGCCTGCTTGACAGCTTATCGAAATGATGTCATCTTTTATGGCATTTTTCATTGGGCAATTTTATTTAGGACCGCCCAATATAACCATATTTGGAATAACCGATCCTTTCTCGTTATTTTCGTACCAAGTACGTCAGGGATCGACTCAAACGTGATAAACTGAGAGGGAAAACAACAAGCGATGAATCGCGAACTTTCCCCTCTTTTGACCGCATTGTTTCAACTAATTTCACTGGACAATGGAGCACATGATTAGATACAAAATATAATTAAAAATACTTCTAGATCGTCTTTTGAGTTCATTTTTTCTCTAAATCAATTTATAAAAAATAGACTTTCTGACCATGCAAAAATCTCAGTTGATCCCTAAATTCGAAATTTCATGTTCAAACGGGCCTACAACACAATGGGATTTGCCGAGAAGCGTCGGGTTTTGCCGTAGCGGGTCACATATACACACACTCAAGAAAGAAAGATTATCAGGAGTCCTTCTCAGGACTTCCCAATATCCTCCCCCTCTCTCACATGGTGCAACCGCAAGCCTACTGTATATCTACATGTACATCACCATGCAAGCTGATACTTATCAGCAGCATCTATATCATTTGAATACCGGTATATAAAACACTTTGATTTGTAACAAACAAAAAAAGAAAAGGATTACTGGTTCTGTCAAACCAGAAAATTTTGCACAAATGAAGTGTTTGTGAATTTAGTGGTTATAGTTTATGGTTACGATTCATGCAAGTTTCATGATGTGTCATAATTGAATCACAGCAGTCACAATCCTGAATTATTGCTATTTTTGAAATTTTCTTGCTATTAAAATTTCTCTTGTTTACAAACCAGGAAAATTTCGTAATTTCAATGTAGACATGCTTCCTAGGCTATATAGGTCTCTTTGTGCAAATAAAAGATGTGGTTTTTATTGAAGATGATTTCCAGCAAGTTGTTGTGAGGTTGTTTTTATTTCACTGGTTCAAACAATCAATCTACTGCAGAAATTATAGCCATGTTCTCTCGACATAAGATGCCCATACCAGAGCTCAAGATGAGCTTTAATGATGTGACTGGGATATTGATATGTAACATGACAATGACAAAGGTTCAAGTTTTCATTGCTATTGCACAAGACCAATAAGATACCAAAAACATATCCACAAACAGCAGCAGATGAATGTTTGTTAACCGTCTATAATAAATGGCCATGTAATTCTATCAACGCAACATTTTGTTAACCACTTAATGAATGAGTGATTAAATGAATATAGGCTATCAAAAATAACAAATTTGAAAATGAAAGACAAATCTGTCTGATATGGTATAGATAATGACAGTTTTAATTATAATATCAATTGGCAACTGAAAACAGAAATATATATGACACCTCTGTGATTAGTAATAATGATTTGAGATTGATTGTGTATATTCTGTTAGAAATGATGCCTCTTACACTACTTGTGGGGATGGAAGCATAACAAAATAAAAATGCATTACATGTATTAGTTAGAATTAGAAATGCTAGAGCGCCGTATGGCAGCCGTGCTAAAGCCAGGGTAATAATCGGGAGCGCCAGGAGGGTCAAATCTGACTGACATGAGCGCTATACAAGAACCCACTATTATTATTATTTTTTATTAAAAAAGAGAAGAAAATTCCTATAGAACACAAGAAAGAAATAAAAAAGATCACATATTTGATTGATTCCAAGCTAAGACAGAATACCATTAATTATTATTCTAAGGCATGTATTAAATAGAAATGTGTACATGGGTGATGGGGTGTAAAGAGTTAGCTGACAGATCAAAATCTTTATGAATATGATACAAAGTCAAGAACACTTTTAAGTTCATTTTCCGAGTTCCATTTAAAAAAAAGCAATCTTTGGGTTACTACTTGACCCAATCGGAGGTGAAAAAATGAAGTACGTGAATTATGTGTCAACAGAATGCTTATTTAAGCCATTGATTACAATAATATCATTTATATAATGCTATTTTAAGTACCATGGTAAGTTGGTAACCATGTTTTTTGTCCAAATTTCCATCCACCATAGTAACCATGGTACCAAACAATGAAATACATGTACACTGTTTGATGACCCTATTTTATCATTGTTAGATACCATGGCTACCATGGTGGATTGTAATTTGGACAAAAAAACCATGGTTACCATGGTACTTTATCTAAAGACTAAAAATCAGAAGCTTTGAAAATTGAAAGTTGTCGACCTATAAATTAGCTATCAACTTGATGACACCATCATAATTATGTGGACTATGAATATTCACAATGACTTTGCATAAAGCACGGCTCATAACCTCAGCAATGTCTAGGCGAGCCAATCTGGTCCCCATGTTATTACCGTAACTGCTGATCCATTATTTGGAGGGATGCAGAAAATTATGCTTTAATTTGCTGTTTTGCAATACTCAAAGGGAAAATATTTTGTATTCCTTTGTATTTGAATTCTACGTTCCTTCAACTTTCCACAGATATAAAGATTTATGTTCATCGGATAGGGTCTTTAATGTATTAAGGGGAATATACATACAGAAAAGAGCACACATCCAGAAAACAGGATGAGCTGTATTACCGAAATCTATACTATAATAGTACTATTTCTGTTATGAGGAAATATGTGAGATAAGCACAGTATCATGCTACACAATAAACCACTTGAACATGAGCCATTATCGGACCTCTATATAAAGTTCCACAAAAATACATCACGAAACAACATTATGAGTGACAAGCTTTCAATCAATGTCAATCTTTAATTGTTATCTTTGACTAGTAAAGATGTTCCAAGACATCAGACTTTAGAAATTATAAATCGACTATGAATTTGCAGATTTCAAGTTTGTCTGATTAATCAATAAATATTGGATTCATTATGAAAAGTGGGTGGTTTACATGGGGGTTCGTTTAGAAAACTCTCTTTCATTGCCTCTATAATGTATGGTCTATATTTAATTCAAATTACCTTCACCGAACAAGACCGTACACCCCCCCCCCTCCCTCCCTCCCTCCACCACCTCCTTCATGCAGTGTTATAATTATTACACAGATGGCTTAAGGTATTATGATGATGCAAGTTGTTGCTAATTGCTCGTGTTAGTGGAATACATTTCAAAGTACATGTTGCATGCATGTAAACCTCATGCCTGATGCAATCTTCATTGTGTCTTGTATAATACCCGACTGAAGACTTATCCACTGATAAGGAAAAATATAATTTGATTTAAAATCTGATTTAATCAACAAAAGAATGGATTAGGGAATAATGGTCATGCAAATATACAGTGCGTTTGTATATAAAACATTGTATTTAGTGGAAAAGGTAGGAAGCAAATCCATCTAACCATTTCCATCTTTATTGTGTCTTGTAATACCTGAATGAAGGCTTACCTGTTGGACCTGGCATTGGAGTTGGAGATGTAACACCTACAAATTGAAAGATGTCTACATTTTTAGAAAATGAGAATATTCTGAATTGAAAAGTAATACTATTATATTTAATTTCCTGAATGGCTCTGCTCATTTTATGCAACTCATGTAATAATGGTTTTAGGATTATACTCAAACTAAATATTCAGAGTTGAGGGCATATCTCATAGCATTTTTTAATATTACTTTTTAATCAACTTTTAAATTAAGTTTTTGATATTCAATTAATCCATCTTAATTTGTTATAGTAATCTTTTTCTTCTTTCTCCCCCCCCCCCCCTCTTTATCATGTGCCATATTCTATTTATAGAATTTTTAATTATGTACTGAGAGTAGCATGTGTGGGGGCATATGCCTCCGGGCAACATCTCTTTGCATATGTTCGCTCGTTCTAATTATGTACTTGTCTCTTGCCATGCTGTAGTGTATTTGTGCTTTTTTAAATTTTTTTTATGAATGGTCGAATATATAATGATAATAACAAGCTAAAATGCCGGAAGACACTAAGAAAAAACTCATTCAGCCAGAGAATAATCAATGTGTGGAATGGTCTTTCAGCTAGCAGTTGTGGAGAGTACCACTATCAATCGCTTCAAATCTGGACTTGAGGAATGGTGGAAAGATGCCCCAGATAAATATGATGACAACCCTAACCAAAGAAAACCATGGATAGGAACAACCGTCTAAAGACTGAACAATCCTGGATCAAGTGAGTTACAAGTGAGCTAGAGCAATTTTACAAACCAAAACAATAGCAATTCAAAAAAATTAGAGTTTGATTGTAGTCCATTAATTAACAGGTTCTCAGAACGGTGATTACAAGCTATTTTTCATATATATATACACGTATGACCCTTTGACCGTGTGACCCCAAAATCTAAATCAGTTACGGTAATTGACTCTGCAAGATACTGTATAAGACACATCCCAATTTTTGGGGCCGAAAAAATGAAAAAAACTTTTTTTCCTTTTTTTCCTTCAAGACTTTCAATTCCTTATGTATATTATCAATCTATCTTTGGGAATCATCAAAAGTAAAATATTGGCTGTTGGTTATATTGCATGCTAGTTAATCAATGTAATTTGAAAGAAAGAAAGAAAAAAAGAAAAAAGCTGATTTTAAAATTTAAAGTATATGTTTTTTATGTTAAAGGAAAGCAAATTATTGTTCGTGTTATTGGAATACATTTGAAACACATGCATGCAGCATGCATACAAACTAGAGAGTCAATTTAAGCTTTAATCGGTCTTGTAATACCTGACTGAAGACTTATCTTCTGATAAGAACAATACAATTTGATTTAAAATCTGATTTAATTAAAAAAAGAATGGATTAGGGAATAAGGCCTAAACAAAATGGATGTTGTATTGCCCTATGCAACCGACCCCAAAAATTTGAAATCTACGGTCGGCTTTATAAAAAATAAAAAAAAGATTTCCGACCGGCCAACCCATGTTTTGGCACCTAAAGGGCAACACCTGTTTTTTTTAAGGTCTAAAGGAAGGTCATGCAAGTACAATGTATTTGTAAATAAAACATTTTATTAGTGGAAAAGGTTTGAAAGCAAATCCATATAAATGAAAAACTAGAGAAACAATCTTTATTGTGTCTTGTAATACCTGAATGAAGGCTTACCTGTTGGACCAGGCATTGGAGTTGGAGATGTAACACCTACAAATTGAAAGATGTCTACATTTTTAGAAAATGAGAATATTCTGAATTGAAAAGTAATACTATTATATTTAATTTCCTGAATGGCTGTGCTCATTTTATGCAACTCATGTAATAATGGTTTTAGGATTATACTCAAACTAAATATTCAGAGTTGAGGGCATATCTCATAGCATTTTTTAATATTACTTTTTAATCAACTTTTAAATTAAGTTTTTGATATTCAATTAATCCATCTTAATTTGTTATAGTAATCTTTTTCTTCTTCCCCCCCCCCCTCTTTATCATGTGCCATATTCTATTTATAGAATTTTTAATTATGTACTGAGAGTAGCATGTGTGGGGGCATATGTCTCCGGGCAACATCTCTTTGCATATGTTCGCTCGTTCTAATTATGTACTTGTCTCTTGCCATGCTGTAGTGTATTTGTGCTTTTTTTTATTTTTTTATGAATGGTCGAATATATAATGATAATAACAAGCTAAAATGCCGGAAGACACTAAGAAAAAACTCATTCAGCCAGAGAATAATCAATGTGTGGAATGGTCTTTCAGCTAGCAGTTGTGGAGAGTACCACTATCAATCGCTTCAAATCTGGACTTGAGGAATGGTGGAAAGATGCCCCAGATAAATATGATGACAACCCTAACCAAAGAAAACCATGGATAGGAACAACCGTCTAAAGACTGAATAATCCTGGATCAAGTGAGTTACAAGTGAGCTAGAGCAATTTTACAAACCAAAACAATAGCAATTCAAAAAAATTAGAGTTTGATTGTAGTCCATTAATTAACAGGTTCTCAGAACGGTGATTACAAGCTATTTTTCATATATATACACGTATGACCCTTTGACCGTGTGACCCCAAAATCTAAATCAGTTACGGTAATTGACTCTGCAAGATACTGTATAAGACACATCCCAATTTTTGGGGCCGAAAAAATGAAAAAAACTTTTTTTCCTTTTTTTCCTTCAAGACTTTCAATTCCTTATGTATATTATCAATCTATCTTTGGGAATCATCAAAAGTAAAATATTGGCTGTTGGTTATATTGCATGCTAGTTAATCAATGTAATTTGAAAGAAAGAAAGAAAAAAAGAAAAAAGCTGATTTTAAAATTTAAAGTATATGTTTTTTATGTTAAAGGAAAGCAAATTATTGTTCGTGTTATTGGAATACATTTTGTAAGGATCAAGATATAAGAAGTCAAATTTAGTTTTTGTTTTGAGGATACCGTAGATTGACTGGAATTGTTGTACAAACGTAGCTAGCTAGGCTTGTCACATGGAAACTACAGATATGATATGATGTGGGCACGGATTCAAGGAAGGAAAACTTTGTTTTACCTACTAAACTACTACTACTATTGCTACTTTGTACATTCCGGTGTATGGAAATGATTGGAGTTCAGTTGAGTGTTAATAAACAAAGAACCATGAAATTACCACATTGTCTCAAGGATCATATGTAGATATCTCTACATTAGTAAAACAAAGTCGATTCTTCAACGGATACTGCATGGATGAAGGAATTCGACACGGCAAAGCCCCCGGGCGTGATACTCGCGAACACTGCACAAGTACTAAAGTCTCTGACGTGACGTGACACAGTGAGTAATTCAATGAAATGAAACTCAGAAGTGAAATCGGCTGAATGAAATGAAACTTTGAAGTGAAATCGGCTAGACTCTACTATAGCTCTACACGTTACTGCTGATTTGAAAGGAATGTTTATCAATTAAATTGCAATTATGCTGGATGGGAATAGATCTACTACTCCCAAATCCCCAGGTGGGAAAGATAAGGAACCGAGCAATGCCAATGGCAATGATATTGATCATGTCGTGAAAGATAAGGAACTGAGCAATGCCAATGGCAATGATATTGATCATGTTGATGATAAGGAGAGTGGTGCAATAAGGAGCTTTACTAGAGAAAGAGATCTAGAGAATGGGAAAGAAGATCAAGATGACTCAGAATCCACATTGTCATTATGTGGATCATCGGCCTCTTCTGCCAGTACTGCAAAGAGGAGAGAAAGAGAGAGAAAGAAGGAAAGACAACTTAAAGCAAAGTTGATAGCCTTAAATCAAACGAGTGAACTTGAGAAGAAACTGAGAACACTTCAAAAACAACATGAAATGGAACAAGCCGAACAAGAAATACGAATTGCAAAAGAAAAGGCTGAGAATTTGAGAAAGAGTCAGCTTTTGAAGGATGAAGAAGCGGAGATTGAAAGACAGAAGACTGCTATTCTCTTGCAAGCAGAATTGAAGCTTCTACAACAAGACTCAGAGGAAGAGCTACAGAAATGGAAAGTGGAAGGTGATTCTTTCCGTGATCGTGGACAAGAACGAGAACGAGTTAGAGGTGATTTTGTCGGTGATCATGGACAAGAACGAGATCAAGTTAGAGGTGACTCTTTCCGTGATCGTGGACAAGAACGAGAACGAGTTAGAGATGATTTTGTCGGTGATCATGGACAAGAACGAGATCAAGTTAGAGGTGACTCTTTCCGTGATCGTGGACAAGAACGAGAACGAGTTAGAGATGATTTTGTCGGTGATCGTGGACAAGAACGAGATCAAGTTAGAGGTGACTCTTTCCGTGATCGTGGACAAGAACGAGTTAGAGATGATTTTGTCGGTGATCATGGACAAGAACGAGATCAAGTTAGAGATGATTTTGTCGGTGATCATGGACAAGAACGAGATCAAGTTAGAGGTGACTCTTTCCGTGATCGTGGACAAGAACGAGAACGAGTTAGAGATGATTTTGTCGGTGATCGTGGACAAGAACGAGATCAAGTTAGAGGTGACTCTTTCCGTGATCGTGGACAAGAACGAGTTAGAGGTGATTTTGTCGGTGGTCGTAGACAAGAACAAGAACAAGCCTTTGGCAAGGAACCTGTGAGCAATGAAGAAGGAGCCACCAAACAGATGCTTAGGGAGATGATTAGATTCACTGCAGAAAACAGTCTACCATCGCCAGATCTCGAGCCGTTCAATGGGGATCCACTTGATTACCTTACCTTTATAAGGAATTTTGAATATGTGGTTGAAAAGAGAACTGATGAACCTTTCAGAAGACTAGAGCTTCTACTAAAATACACACGAGGAGAAGCGCATGAGCTTATTCGAGAATGCCCCCACATACAACCAAGTAAGAGGGCATATGAGACAGCCAAGTCCATGCTACACAGAGACTATGGAAAGCAGAGTAACATAATAAATGCATACAAGGAAAGGGCAATTGCCTGGGAGCAGATACGATCAGGAGATAGGCAAGGATTGCGAAAATTCGCAATATACCTCAATAATTGCTCGCATGTTAGAGCAGCAGGGGACTTAGGAGGCATGGATAGTGCAAGTTTTCTGAGAGTTCTGGCAAGCAAACTACCCTTGTATCTCCAGCAGAAATGGATATCACGAGTAGGCCTGACTCGTGATATTGCTAATAGGAATCCCACCCTGGAAGACCTGGCACAGTTCGTCATACAGACTGAAAGAAACATTAACGATCCCATGGTACAGGGATTGGGATATCAGAGGACTGAGAAAAATGCTTCCTACAATAAAGATGAGAAAGAAAAACTACAAAAATCAAGAAGCACAAAGGCATTTGGTACAGCTACACAACAGGATAAGGAGCAGAAGGACAAGAGGGAACCAAGTTGTACTTTCTGTGGCACCAACTCAAGGCACATCATTGACGAGTGCCGAAAATTTGAAGCCTTGACAGTTGAAGAAAGATCAGAGCAATGTAAAAGGAAAGGCCTCTGCTTCCGATGCCTGAAACCAAAACATCTGAAAAAGGAATGCAAAAGTCAGATCAAGTGTGATGTCTGCGACAGGATGCACAACACTCTAATGCATGATCCCAGGTGGATGAAAGACGGAGAAGGAAATACAAGGAAAACCACCAATGATGCTTCAACATCTACCGATGTGCAAAGTGAAGCTGGAAAGATCTCTTCAGGGTCTACCAATGTGAAGAAAAGTGTTGGAGGAAAACCCCAGACATCGACGTGCATGACGATAGTCCCAGTCATCGTGAAGCACAAAGGAAATGACAGATGCATATCAACTTATGCATTCATAGATAATGGATGCGGAACAGTCTTCTGTGACACAGAACTTACCCAAAGGCTGCATGCAAGAACTAGGAAAACCAAGCTAATAGTCAAGACATTGAATCTTGAAGAAGTGATAGATACAGAAGTCACTGTAGATGAGCTGCAGATCGCAGGAGTAAAGGAGAAGGAATTCATCAATCTTCCGCCCATCTATGTCAAAGATGGTATACCAGTGACAGTTTCAGATGCTCCAACTCAAAATGATCTGAAACGATGGAAACATCTGAAGGACATAGAATTGCCAGAAATAAGTAACAGCAACTCTATTCCAAGGGTAACTCTCATGATTGGAGCCAACGTTCCGTCAGCATCGATGCCTCTAGAAATTAAAGCTGGTGACATCGAAGAACCATATGCTATCCGCTCAAGGCTAGGTTGGCTCGTGTATGGTATACAAGCTCAAGAGCAAGCAGATATTCACAAAGTCTGTTTTTGTAAACAGGAGGAAGTTTCCATCATTCCTAGACAAGAGGAATTAGAACGGAAATTCAAGGACTTCTGCAATATGGAATTTACAGAGAGACTAAGTGATCACAGAGAGGGCCTGTCAGTTGACGACAAGAATTTCTTGGACATAATGGAGAAATCTATCACTAAGAAAGACAATCATTATCAGATGGATCTGCCCTTAAAGCAGAGAGATGTGGCTATGCCTAACAACAAGGACCAAGCTGAAAGATTTCTGGAAAGACAAGGACAGAAGTTATCAAAGAACAAGGAAATCCATGAACAGTACACCACATTCATGAATGATCTGGAAAAGCAAGGCTATGCAGAGAAGGTTCCAGAAGCAGACTTGGACAGACATGATGGGAAGGTATGGTATATCCCTCACCATGGGGTGTATCATCCCCAAAAGCCAGG